AGTTGCCCCCGGAGATAAGAAGAATCCAGGACCTCAATGCCTTCCGTCGTTCCCTGAAAACCCATCTTTTTCAACAAGCCGGGTTGGCCTAAGAAGAAATTTTTAAAATTTTAAAATTTTTAAATTCTTTTAATTAGTCTGTGATTCTTAACTTCGGGCCAAAATTTATATATATTTTTAAATGTTTTAATATTTGTATCCTATGTTTTTTATCTTGGCTGTACACCGCCCTGAGTCCTCAGGGAGAAGGGCGGTATATAAATTGGAAATTAAATTAAATTAAAATTAAAGCTGGCTGAAGAATTCTGGGAGTTGAAGTCTACAAGTCTTAAAGTTGCCAAGGTTGGAGACCCCTGTATTAGAGGACTGAGAAAGAGTTGGTGTGGTTCCAATCTATTAAAAAAAAGGGGGGGGAGGGAAATGGACCCAGGAAATTATAGCCCAATCAGCTGGACATCAATACTTGGGAAAACCCTGGAAAAGATAAAGAAGGATTTGTGGGCACCTAAAAATGGACGAGGTGATTAGTAGAATCCAATATGGGTTTGTTAAAAACAGATTGTGCCAGACAAACCTTATTGCCTTTATCAAAAAAGTGACTAAATTAGTGGACCAGCAAAATTCTATGGACATTTAGTAAGGAATTCAACATTCAATATTCAACATTCAACACAACAATGTGCATTAGGCGGCAGCACCACCAGATGGATTTGCAATTGGCTGACTAACCATGCCCAGCATGTAGTCCTCAACGGAACTAAATCCACATGGAGGGAAGCATGCAGTAGGGTGCCTGGAGGTCCTGTCTTGGGCCCAGGGCCCCTCAATATCTTCATAAATAATATCTAAATGAGGAAGTAGAAGGGGAACTCATCAGATTTGCAGATGACACCAATCTAGGGGGAATAGCTAATACTTTAGAAGATAGACTCAAGTTTCAGAAGGATCTTGACAGACTTGAGCACTGGGCCCTAATTGACAAGGTGCAGTTCCATGCTGGCTGAGGAGTTCTGGAAGTTGAAGTCCACAAGTCTTAAAGTTGCCAAGGTTGGAGAATCCTGGACTAGAAGACATCCAAGGTCCCTTCTAGTCTATTATTCTATGTTCTAAACTAGCTTGGTTGCATAAAGAACTTCTCCGAAGGGCAAAACAGAGAAGCATAAAAAAATAGGAAAGAAGGATAGGTTTAGGGCCCTGTGATTCTATCTTCTATGTTCTTTCAAATATTGTTATCAAATTTTACATCAGTCATCATTCTTCCAGTGCTTCATTCATTACACTACATTATCATGCAATTAATTAATTATATTATTATCAAATCATTGAAATAATATTGCTATTAATTTATTTGAATCAGTGACCAGTGCACATATATAATAATGTAAGAAAAAGTACAAATGAAATCTTAATTAAAGGCAGAGGTGGTTTTCAGCAGGTTCTGACCCGTTCTGGAGAACCGGTAGCGGAAATTTTGAGTAGTTCGGAGAACCAATAAATACCACCTCTGCCTGGCCCCACCCCCATCTATTCTCTGCCTCCCGAGCCCCAGCTGATCGGGAGGGAATGGGGATTTTGCAGTAACCTTCCCCTGGAGTGGGGTAAGAATGGAGATTTTACGATATCTTTCCCCTGCCACACCCACCATGCCCACCATGCCATGCCCACCAAGCCATGCACACAGAACCGGTAGTAAAAATTTTGAAACGTACCACTGGTTAAAGATCTATATTATTTTGTTCTTACATGAGATACAATAGTTTTTCATAGTATCTAAAATCAGATATATATTTTTACTGGATTTTATTTATGCACTTCTCTCTATCTGGAAATCAGGACAAGAAGCAATGGGTAGAAACAATCAAAGAGAGAAGCAACCTAGAACTGAGGAGAAATTTCCTGACAGTTAGAACAATTAATCAGTGGAACAACTTGCCTGCAGAAGTTGTGAATGCTCCAAACACTGGACATTTTTAAGAAGATGTTGGATAACCCTTTGTCTGAAGTGGTGTAGGGTTTCCTGCCTAAGCAGGGGGTTGGACTAGATGACCTCCAAGGTCCCTTACAACTTTGTTATCCTGTTTTCTGTTTCATATCTACACAATTTTATGAAGAAAATTGGAAATTATTTGAGTACAATCTTTAAAACATTTTATCCAATTAATTATCACACCAGCATTCATTTAGATTATCTTTCTAATTGTCACATTAGGAAGTTTTTTGTTAATGCTTTACTGAAATCCAGTTACATCATCAGCGTTCCCACAATCTATTAAGGAAGGGGAATGACAGATGGGAATGACCATTGATGATGTGGGAAAGAGAGCCCTCCCAGGAAGAGAGGAGATAAGAGAGGAGAACGGCACAGCTGCATAAGGGGGACAGAGAGTAACTCAGGATCCTCCCTGACTGTTCAAGCTACAAAAAGAGACAGTGGGGGATCTGTACTTTCGGACCTGCAAGATTCTGTTAGTGCAGGCTTACAATAAAGTAAACAATGCCTCGTGTGATCGTGTTTCCTGGCCGGCTTAGCTGGAAGAGGATTAGCCTGGCAAACTTCTCCTTCACAAATCCATCCTTTCTGATAACCACCGTGTTTTTTTTGAAGGAGTTTAGGAATAGTCCCTTTATAGTTTCTTACTTCAATTGATTTGGCATGTGCTTGAGACTAATCCCTATGATTGACAAATTTTGTCAGTTATTAAGTTGCTGAATACATAGTTTGTCAATATATGATTTAAAAATTGTGTTAAACTTTTGGTTGTCTCTTTTGAAGAGACATATAGTGGTATATAACTTGTTCTCCCAGCTAAGAATACTTTCCAATTAGGCAACCGTTGAAGAAACATTCAGAAGTGAAAAGCCACAAGAGATAAGAAGCCACAGTTTCTGCTTTTAAAGTTCTTGAATGTTTCCGTTCTAGTTCTATCCCTTTCTGGAGAAGAATGAATTTGGCAATCTTTCTGAGATGAAACTCTACTTGGACCAAAATGGAGATGTAGCAGCAGCTCTAAAAATCATGGGCTTGTTGGTTCTCCCCGAGGGACATCCCATCCAGGGGCTACTAGGGACTTTTGAAAGACAGAGACTGGTGGTCAGTCAAAGTGCTCTCACACGGCTGCAGTTCCTGAACAAGGTGGGAAAGATATTGGCATTTTTTCTCTCTTCTTCAAAAGACTTAGGTCCCATTTCAGCAGGGCTAAGGCTGGTCAGCAAGTTGGATGACCTGAACTGACCATTGGATGTGGGCTGTAAAGCCCTTGTAGCTTTCTTAGACTCTCTTGGGAGGCTTCATATCATGAACGTATGAACGTATCTTTTCTTTTATGTACACCAAGAGCGTATGCACCAAGATCAATTCCTTGTGTGTCCAATCACACTTGGCCTATAAACAATTCTATTCTATTCTATTAATTCTATCTTATCCTATCTTATCCTATTCTATCCTATCCTATCCTATTCAGCACTAGCATCCACCAAGATGGCCTTCAGATGCTATATAGTATGGAACACTATTTTAAGCTGGTTCAGCTACGTCCAACATGGGATGATGGGTGACTATATTTTAGGACATAGATTATGGGCCATTTGTGTCTCCTCCACAATTTAGTTTCTCCATAAAACTGGTCAGAGAGGCCTTCAAGCACTGGGGATTGTGATGGCGATACAAAAAAGATGCTGAGACTTTGGGAAAAGGTGCAAAGAAGAGCAACTAAGATTTTCCAAAGCACCAGAAGGCAAGACAAGGAACAAGGGCTCATACTCATGTCTCATGTCTCACTTGCTGCAGCAAAAGACTCCTGACTGGTCCCTTTCGAGGGACACGTTCTCATGACCTCACCTCCACCTCACCTCACTACAGTTCTAGAAACTACACCGTCAGTTTTAATCTTAAACTGACCGTTTATATGGCAACCATATAAATTGAGGAACCCTTAAAAAAAATTTTTTTCCTTTGTATCTTAACTGGAAGACACTTTTCAACTATTTTCAAAAACAACATTTGCAACGTAGTCCAGAAGATACCCATCCTGATCCTACAAATCAGAAGTTTGTTTCTTCATGCAATTTTTATTCTAATAAATATAATAGAATAAAAAAAATTAATACATCTTTTTAAATATATATTTATTCTAAAAGTTAAAAAGAATATATCCTAATACTTTAATATCATGGCTACATGAAGAATGGAGGAATAAGTGTTAATACAGCCACGAGGAGGAACCCAGGTGGCTCTCACTTAATGCTTAAACCTTTTCCCAATTCCGTCTCTCTAGACTTCACTAAGTAGGAAAGTCTCGTGTTGCGATGTGATATGCCAGAAGCAAAAGGGAGGAACCAAATGAAGAATCCACGACTACTTTTCTCTCTCACAACATTTTGGAACTAGCTAGAGATTTCACCTTGACCTAAGTGAAGGGCCAGAGACTACTTGCCTATGTTGGCTTCCATTTTCATAGAAGGTTAGTCTTAACCTATTTTCTTTGGCCTTCCTTGTTTTTTCTGCTTAGTCTCTGCCTCAGTCCAGATGTGTAGAAAAATGTCTTCCTGGATTTGTCAAGCAGGCTCGAGAAGGAGAGCCAGTTTGCTGCTATGACTGCCTCCCTTGCCCAGAGGGGACCTTCTCCACTCAGGAAGGTGGGTGACACTGGAGGCAACGGTGCTGGTTTTGGTCAGTGCGTGTGTTAAAAAAGACATCTCTGTCAGGGCGCTGATTAATCCCATTCTGCCTTTGGGACAATCGCACCTTGATTAAGAGGAGTGGATCGAGATCTTTCCTTGCCAGCATACTTTAAGAAAACAAAAACCCGAAGATATATCTTCTAATAAACTCATTTATTTGTTATAAAGAAAATAGAACATCTTACTGATCTAATTAGTTACATTTTGAATAAAGTTCGTGCCGGCTGCTTCTCAGCAGAAGTGGATGGATGACATGCGCAGTTTAGCTTACTGATAACAATTCTTGGCAAGCTGGGGGACTTCCGCTGGCACCGCCGGCGCCGCTGCAGCTCCTTTGTGAGCTCCTACTCCCGGGATCTGTAAAACCGCCAAAACAGCGTAAATCAGCTGTTTTGGCGGCTGGAACTTCCCCCTCGGGCAAAGATTGATTTTTACGCCGGCAGAACAAAACAGGAGAGCTTCTCGCAAGTATTTTTCTTCCTTTAACTCTGATGAATAATGAGTCCTTTCAGATTCGAGTGAAAGTTTTAAAGAGATCCAAAATGGCGCTGACTGAGAACGGAAGCTTAAGAAGAAAGTGATTGTTAAAGCTTGTTTGCGCTTGTTAAGGTCGTTATAGCTGTCAGTACTTTGAAGCTTTGCTGAATGAAGTTTGCAGCATAAGAAAAGATGGCAGAGGCAAAGATTTTTGAAGAGAATGGAGGTTTCTCAGCACATAATTCAGCAAGTACACAAATACTGACAGTGGATTTTTTGGAAGCATGGCAAACATCATTTATGGAAAGACTGGATGAGATCTTTGAGAAGTTTATTACTCAAATTGATAACAAAGTTGCAATGTTAAAAGAGGAGGAAGAACAAAAAGCCCCTGAGGAACATGGAAAGGATGTTTTCCAAACTATGAATAAACTGATGGGCTTGAAGGAAGTTAATCCGGAGATATGGAGAGAGATCTATCCAGAGGTTTTGATGCAGATGAGAGGAAAAGTGCTGGGAGAAGCTTGGATTTTCAAGATACCAAGAAGGATTAGAAATGGAACATTACAATTTCTTTATAAAAATGGACTTTTAATCCTAATTAAAGAGGAGTGTTGCTTAAAAGGAATTACTTTGCGAGATGCACAGGATTGGAAGATAAAATTACAGTTAAATACACAAAAGCTTGTAAAAATAAAAGATGGTGGAATAAAGGGGAAGAAGAAGGCTCGGAAAAAAACCAGGGGGAAATGGAAGTGGAAGAATTTTATTCCTCTTTGTTAGGCAGGATAACATGGTGAATGATTGTATTGGTATTCAAGATTTTTATTAAGGATACGATTTGTTTGGTTTTTGACTAGATCAAAATGTTATACAAGGTCCCTATTAACAGGAGATCCCCAGATCTGTTCACAAAATCACATTTTAAGGGATTTCTAATGGCTGGGACTAATCTCCACTTGATGGCAATTAATGCCTGTTTCTAGAAATGGGTAGTACCAACATCTGTCCAGAAGGAGGCAGTAGTGCACCCCTACCTCTCAAGATACTCTCCATGGATTCAATCACGGTCAACAACTTTTAAACACTGTCCAACATTTTAGGACAATTTCCTGAGAGCATGTACAGGTACAGAACCCAGGCTGATGGCTTAGTTACTGTCCCAAGACAGCGCTGGTTGCTCTTGTGGGGGGTCTCTGAAGAGTCATGTGCCTATGGGTGGTGCAACCATCCTGGCCCTTCTGGATCTTTCAGTGGGTTTTGGTACCATCACTCAAGATGTCCTTCTGGACCGGCTTTGGGGATTGGGAGTGGGAAGCATTGTTTTGCAATGGTTCTCCTTTCTTTGCAGATGGTTTCAGTTGGTGTTGTTGGGGACAGAGGTCAGGCCCTTGGTCCCCTCAGAGCTTGTGCCTCCCTCCCTCCTTTCATCTTTATCATTTATATGAAACCAGTTAGGTGAGTCATTTGCCACCTCGGGGTACGGCGTCATCTGTATACCACCCATGGCCAGTCAGGTGGTGCTCTTGTAGTGTTCACTGAGCACCGGGAGGAGGTGTGGATCTGGAGGTATGGATTCTGGCTTTCTGTTTTTGGCCCCTGGTGACAAGCCGTCTATGACTCTAGATGGCATGACATGCCCCTGGATGGAGGTGGTGCCTAATTTGAGGTTCATCCTAGAATCAGGGCTGCAACTGAATGAGAAGGGGCGGTGCCATCCCTAAAGGGGCATTCACACAGGTACTTTCTGGGTGGCAACTGTGCCTTTTCCTGGACTGAGGGAATTGCTCGTGCCTTGATTACTTCCTGTTTGAATGGCTGCAATGTGTTCTACATGAGGTGGCTCTTGAAGAGCCACTGGAGCTTGCAAATGGTCCAAATGGGCTTTCCCGTCTCCCAGTGTCAGCTGTCATCCAAAGAAGATCTTTCTTGAAATGTGAAAGGAGAGACTATAAAACAAACAGTACTAAAAGAAATATTACTTTTCTTTTTTCTCAGATACTGAAAAATGCACCATGTGCCCAGATGATCAATATCCAACCAAGAACCGAGTCCAGTGTATCCCCAAAAGAATAACCTTCCTGTCCTATGAAGAACATCTGGGCATCATCCTGGTCTCCTTTGCCCTACTCTTGTTTCTAACCACAGGTTTTGTTTTAATCATCTTCATAAAATACCTAGAATCTCCCATTGTCAAAGCCAACAACCGGGACCTCTCCTACATCCTCCTGGTCTCCCTCATGCTTTGCTTCTTGTCTCCTTTTCTCTTCATTGGTCAGCCAAGGAAAGCCACCTGCCTTCTCCGACAAACGGTTTTCAGCCTCATCTTCTCAGTTGCCATTTCTTCTCTCTTGGCCAAAACCATCACGGTGGTGCTGGCTTTCTTGGCCACAAAACCAGGAAACCGAGTGCAGAGATGGTTGGGGAAGAGCTTGGCCAACTCCATCATCCTTTCTGGTTCTGCTGGCCAAATTTTCATCTGTGCATTATGGTTGGGAATTTCTCCCCCATTCCCTGACTCTGACCTCCACTCCCAGCCTGGAGAGATTGTCCTGCAATGCAACGAAGGCTTAGTTGTTATGTTCTACGTCACCCTCAGCTACATGGGCTTCCTAGCTGCCATTTGCTTCATGGTGGCTTTCCTGGCCAGGAACCTGCCTGGGGCCTTCAATGAAGCCAAGCTGATCACCTTCAGCATGCTGGTCTTCTGCAGCGTCTGGGTCTCCTTTCTTCCCATCTACCTGAGCACCAAAGGAAAGTCCATGGTGGCCGTGCAGGTCTTCTCCATCTTGGCCTCCAGTGCTGGGCTGCTGGGCTGCATCTTCTTCCCCAAGTGCTACATTATCATCCTGAGACCAGATCTAAATACCAAGGAACACCTAATGATAAAAGTAGAGAACTGATAGAGAATTGGTTTCTTAGGCTCATAATGTTTCATTTTTCATTGCAGTTACTATTCGACTTGTATGCTTCCTTTGCATCATTGACAATTGAGATGATTTGAAACCAAAGGAAATAAACATACGAACAGTGTAAGACTAATGAAATTAATTTTTAACATAATCATCAAGCAGTAAAATAAGTGAATTAATATGTCTAAAGGTTGAATCATGGCAACTGGACCAAATTTTGTTAATCTGAGAGGTTTCATTGCTCGTCCACGCAACTTCATCAGTCAGAGCAAAACATGAATTAATTAAAATTGTGGAGTCCTAGATGCTCTCTGAGCTTGGTTAATTTCTTGCAGATATTTCGTTACCAAGCTCTGTAACAACAACAACCTTGAACTACAAATTCTCTCCTCTATTGATAAATAAAATGGTCATACAGTCAGTGAAGGGCAAAATAAGAAATATGATAGTTAAATTAAGATAAAACAGTTTCAGAACAGACAAGACTCCCCAAAAAGAGGGGGGAAGGAGTCTGTTTCCTACTGTGAGATGAATATGAAGATCTAAGTCTGTGTGAACATGCTCTCTTTCACTCTATGGTTTTCTCAAAAGTAGGTGGTGACGGGAGAGCTGGGTGTCCAGACAGGCAAAAGTCTCCCACGTGTTTTCTGCAGGTCTTGGGTGACCCCATAATCCTTGTGGGACCTTAGAGTTGTATGATCTCCATCCCTCTCCCCTTTCTAGGCATGGCCTAACAGAAATTGCTGCAAAACTGCACCAGGAAGTCTCGACACCCTCTGTGAAGACTCCATCCAAAGAGAAGAGAACAGATGAGAACAGGTTGGCTCTCTTAACTCGAAGAAGCCACACGATCCTCTGATCCCCAAATGGGAAACTTTCAGCCTTGTGCCATGTGGATGGGGAAATGATCCGTGACTGAAAATGGCAGGAGGGCAGGGCGCGCACGCACACACACACACACACACACACACACACACACACACAGAGGCTTCACTATCCAGACCGAACCTGGGGGCTGCAGGGAAGGAGGGCCCTTCTGCTCCAGACGGTGCCTAGAGGCCAACTCTCTTTGCAATGGTGGGGAAAGGCTAGAGGCTGAAACACTGCCCCAGCACGACTGACCCTGTCAGTCGTTCCTGGTTTCTTTTTCTTTTTTTCTTTTTTTAAATTTAAGCCTATGTCTGCTGGAGATTCTCAGTCAACCCAGGTCCTGGTTATCCCAAAGGGGCTTTTTCCAAAAGGCAACTGGACTTGCTGGTTTTCCCTTGAAAATGTTTCTCATCCAAGAAGCTTCTTCAGCTCTGACTGGATGGTAGGGAATAGAAGGATTTATGTTGAAGTCTGACCTCTGCTGGTTGATAGAGGAAAATGTTATTTTTAAGGAGGAAAATTTCCTTGATTCCCTGATACTCTGAAGTCTTCAACATCTGACATCACGTAATAAGGGGGAAAGTCCCCTCGGGGTCGAAATTTTTCCCTTCCTCCGAGTCTTTCAGTTCTGAGCACCCCTGCCGGTCGGGAAGCAGTTACTGGCTCCTCCGGTCTCCTTGCTGCCAGCCCCCAGCTCCTCTCTTCCCCACCACCAGAGGGGCAAGAAAAGAAGCAACGATGGAAACTCTACAAGGAGAGAAGCCACCTAGAACTAAGGAGAAATTTCCTGACAGGGAGGACAATTAACCAGGGGAAGTATTTGCCTTCCGAAATCTTGGGCGCTCCATCACTGGAGGCTTTCAAAGAGAGACTGGACAGCCACTTGTCTGAAATGACACAGGGTTTCCTGCTCAAACAGGGTTTGGACTAGAAGACCTGGTTGGGCCAGGAGGGAGGGGGGGTTCCCCTCATTGAAATGTGCCCTCCAGGTTTCCTTGCTTTCCATCAGCCGAGGTCACAGGGGAGGGGTGGGGGGGGTAGCGGTTATCATTAAGGAAGGTCTGAAACCGAGGGAGGCCATTGTCCCTCAGACGACCGGCTGTGAATCCTTCCTTGTGAAATGGGGCCACGGGGTTCAGATGGGTTTGCTGATCACATACCTGGCTCCCTGCCATGTGGCAGCAGTCCTGCCCGAGCTACTCAACGTCATCGCCGCGGTGGCGGTTGATATCCCCAGGCTTATGGTCATGGGGGATTTCAACCTACCGTCCGTGGGCGAGGCGTCCGAGGTGGCTCGGGAGTTCATGGCTTCCATGACAGCTATGGACCTGACCCAGTTAATTCATGGCCCTACCCACATGGGGGGAAACACGCTGGATCTGGTTTTTGTCTCTGGACAGTGGTTGAGTGATCTCGAGATAGGGGATATAGTCACTGAGCCCTTGTCATGGTCTGATCACTCTCTCCTTCGTCTCGACCTCCGAACCGCTGCACCCTGCCACAGGGAGGCGGAGCCGGTAAGATGGTTCCGCCCCAGGCGCCTGATGGAACCTGATAGGTTCCAGATGGAGCTTGGGCCATTCCCTGAGGCTCTGGCACACACCTCGACTGGAGACCTAGTGGCCACCTGGGATAGGGCGGCCGCTGGAGCTCTGGACCGGGTCGTGCCTTTGCGGCCTCTGACCCGGCGCCGATCTCATTTAGCTCCTTGGTTTACTGAGGAGCTGAGGGAGATGAAGCACCGGAAAAGATGCCTAGAGAGTAGTTGGAGGGCCAGTCGTTCTGAATCTGACCGGACACTGGTAAGATCTCATATTAGGAATTACCTAGTGGCGATAAAAGCAGCGAAATGTAGTTATTTTGCTGCTCTTATTGCGTCATCAGATAATCGCCCGGCCACCCTGTTTAGGGTGACCCGCTCCCTGCTCCACCAGGAAGCACGGGAGGACCCCTTGGAGGGTAGAGCCGAGGATTTTGTTCAATATCTGTATGACAAAATCACTCAGATTCGGGAAGATCTGGACTCTGACTGGGTAGTCTCAGGGGGAGGGACTGGGGCAGGTCTTGAGAATGTTATCTGGGATGAGTTTGATCCTGTGACTCCTGAGGACATGGACAGGATTCTGGGTAGACTGAACGCGACCACTTGTTTATTGGACCCGTGTCCCTCCTGGTTAGCGCTGGCTTCTTGGGAGGTGACACGAGGCTGGTTCCAGGGGATTATAAATGCTTCATTGGGTGAAGGTGTCTTTCCTGCCGCCTTGAAAGAGGCGGTGGTGAGGCCTCTCCTCAAGAAGCCTTCCCTGGACCCAGCAGTGTTGGCTAACTATCGTCCGGTCTCCAACCTTCGCTTTGTGGCAAAGGTTGTTGAGAGTGTGGTCGTGCAACAGCTCCCCCAGCACCTGGATGAAACGACGTATCTGGATCCATTCCAGTCGGGCTTCAGGCCCGGGTACAGCACGGAAACAGCATTGGTCGCGTTGGTTGATGATCTCTGGAGGGCTCGGGACAGGGGGTGCTCCTCTATCCTGGTCCTGTTAGATCTCTCAGCGGCTTTTGATACCATCGACCATGGTATGATGCTGCACCAGTTAGAAGAGTTAGGGGTGGGAGGCACTGTGTTGCAGTGGTTCTCCTCCTTTCTCTCTGACCGGTCGCAGTCTGTGTTGACAGGGGGACAGAGGTCGACCCCGAGGCCCCTCATATGTGGGGTGCCGCAGGGGTCGGTCCTCTCGCCTCTCCTGTTCAACATTTATGTGAAGCCGCTGGGCGAGATCATCCGTGGTTTCGGGGTGGAGTACCATCAGTACGCTGACGACACCCAGCTGTACATCTCCACCCCGGGTCACACCAACGATGCCCTTGAAGTGATGTCCCGGTGCCTGGAGGCCGTACGGATCTGGATGGGGAGAAACAGGCTCAGGCTCAACCCATCCAAGACCGAGTGGCTGTGGTTTCCATCGTCCCGATATAGTCAGTTGACGCCATCACTGACTATTGGGGGCGAATCATTGGCCCCCATGGAGAGGGCTCGCAACTTGGGCGTCCTCCTGGATTCACGGCTGTCTTTAGAAGAGCACCTGACGGCTGTGACCGGGAGGATTTTTTATCAGGTTCGCTTGATTCGCCAGTTGCATCCCTTTCTGGATCGGGACTCGTTACGCACGGTCACTCATGCCCTCGTCACCTCCCGCCTGGACTATTGTAATGCTCTCTACATGGGGCTCCCCTTGAGGAGCACCCGGAGGCTCCAAGTGGCGCAGAGTGCGGCCGCGTGGGTGGTAATGGGAGCGTCATGGCGCTCCCATGTGACACCTCTCCTGCGCGAGCTGCACTGGCTCCCGGTGGTCTTCCGGGTGCGCTTCAAGGTTTTGGTTACCACCTTGAAAGCGCTCCTGGCTTAGGATCTGGTTATCTACGGGACCGCCTACTACCACCAATAGCCTCCCACCGGCCAGTACGCTGTCATAGAGAGGGACTCCTCCAGGTGCCGTCAGCCAAACAGTGTTGGCTGGCGGCCCCTAGGGGGAGAGCCTTCTCTGTGGGGGCACCTACCGTCTGGAATGAGCTCCCCCCAGAGATACGGAGGATCCCGGATCTGCGCACCTTCCACCACGCTGTGAAGACCTTTTTATTCCATCAAGCGGGCTTGGCCTAATCTCCTCCCTCTTTTAATATGTAAATTTTAATCTGTTTTTAAATTATTGGGGTGTTTTAATCTGTCTGGGCCAAAATGATTTAATTTGATTTTATCTGGTTTTAAATTTTGTGTATTTATGTATTTTATTGCTTGGCTGTTCACCGCCCTGAGACCTTCGGGAGTAGGGTGGTATACAAATCAAATAAACTAAACTAAACTAAACTAAGACCTCGAAGGTCCCTCCCAACTCTGTTATTCTGAGTTCTATGTTCTAAAATTGCCAAAAGCTTTCACACTCAAAACACAAGGAAAGAAATGATAAAATGAAAGCGAAAAACCAGGAACAGAATTCTAGCTGCAGCCAAAGAAGAGTTTCCAGCTTTGCCCCCAAATCCAAGACTCCAGTTTTCGGCAGGAAGTTGGATTCCGTTCGCGTTGTGGGTGCTCTCAAGTGGGCTTTGGTGGGTCGAGTCTGGTTGGAAACTCGCTGTTCCCAGACCCCCCTGAGGTGCAGGAAGAACCATTGGGGGGAGCTGGCATGGATCAGCAAATAAACCATCGAGTGGTGGTGGTGCCAACAGGATTACCGTGCGGCATGCCTACAATTTGAGAGAGTCTGGCACCTGAACATCTCCCAAGGGGCTCCTTGTAGCAAGACGGGCCCTTTGTTTGTCACCAAATTGTCCGAAGGGAGTTACATTTTCGGCAATCAAATCTGGTTGCAGGAATCAATCAGCTGAGTCTGTGGATGAATCAGGCCCAGCCACCACCACCACCACCCCCATTTTATTTTGATTGATTGATTGGATCGTAGCAATCCTTCCTTGCAGGGTCAAACTGAGGATTTTGTGCAATTCCTGCATGATAAAGTCGCTCAGATTCGGGAAGGCTTGGACTCCGACTGGGTGAGTCCGGGGAGGGAGACGGGGGTGAGTCTTGAGAATATTATCTGGGAAGAGTTTGACCCTGTGGCTCCCGAGGACGTGGACAGGATTCTGGGTAGGCTTAGTGCTGCCACATGTTTATTGGACCCGTGTCCCTCCTGGTTGGTACTGGCCTTCCGGGAGGTTACACGAGGCTGGCTCCAGGGGATTATAAATGCTTCGTTGAGTAAGGGTGCCTTTCCCACCACCTTGAAAGAGGCGGTGGTGAGGCCCCTCCTCAAGAAGCCCTCTTTGGACCCGGCTGTATTAGCAAATTACCGTCCGGTCTCCAACCTTCGTTTTGTGGCGAAGGTTGTCGAGAGTGTGATGGCATGACAGCTACCCCAGTACCTGGAGGAAGCTGTCTATCTGAACCCGTACCAGTCGGGCTTCAGACAGGGGAACAGCACAGAAACGGCATTGGTCGCATTGGTTGATGATCTCTGGAGGGCTCGGGACAGGGGTTGTTCCTCTGTCCTGGTCCTATTAGATCTCTCAGCGGCTTTTGATACCATCGACCATGGTATCATGCTGCAGCGGTTGAGGGGGTTAGGAATTGGAGGCACCGTGTTACGGTGGTTCTCCTCCTACCTCTCTGACCGCTCGCAGTTTGTGTTGGCAGGGGGGCAGAGGTCGACCTCGAGGCGCCTCGCTTGGGGGGTGCCGCAGGGGTCGATCCTCTCGCCCCGTCAACATTTATGTGAAGCTGGGTGAGATCATTTGTGGTTTTGGGGTGAGAATCCACCAGTACGCTGATGACACCCAGCTGTACATTTCCACCCCAAACCACCCCAATGATGCCCTTGATGTGATGTCCCGCTGCCTGGAGGCCGTGCAGGTCTGGATGGGGAGAAATAGGCTCAAGCTCAACCCTTCCAAAACTGAGTGGCTGTGGCTCCTGGCATCCCGGTATAGTCAGCTGGTGCCATCGCTGACTATTGGGGGTGAATCTTTGCCCCCCACAGAGAGGGCCCACAATCTGGGTGTCCTCCTGGACCCACGGCTGTCTTTAGAAGAGCATATGACAGCCGTAGCCAGGGGGGCTTTTTATCAGATTTGCCTGATCCGCCAGTTGTGTCCCTTTTTGGACTGGGATGCCTTGCGCATGGTCACTCACGCCCTCGTCACCCCCCGTCTGGACTATTGTAATGCTCTCTACATGGGGCTCCCCTTGAAGAGCACTCGGAGGCTCCAACTGGTCCAGAATGCGGCCGCACGGGTGGGTATGGGCGCACCTCGTTACGCCCATGTAACATCTCTCCTGCGCGAGCTGCACTGGCTCCCAGTTGTCTTCCGAGTGCAATTCAAGGTGTTGGTCACCACCTTTAACGGGCTCCATGGCTCAGGACCTGGATACCTACGAGACCGCCTTCTGCCACCAACAGCCTCCCACCGACCAGTTCGCTCCCACAGAGAGGGACCCCTCAGGGTACCGTCGGCCAAGTTATGTTGGCTGGCGACACCCAGGAGGAGAGCCTTCTCTGTTGGAGCTCCTGCCCTTTGGAATGAATTGCCCCCGGAAATACGTAACATCTCTGACCTCCGGGTCTTTCGCTGTGCCCTCGAGACCCTACTGTTCCGACAGGCGGGGCTGTCTAATTGAATGCTTTTAAATTGGGTATTAATTTTGGATTTTAAAATTTGACCAAAACTATTTAATGATTTTAATTAATTTTAACTATGATATTGTATATTTATATTTTAATTCTGGTTGTACACCACCCTGAGTCCTTCGGGAGAAGGGCGGTATATTATTATTATTATTATTATTATTATTATTATTATTATTATTATTATTATTATTATTATTATTATTATTTATTATTCCTTGCCTGGATACAGAGGACAGAATTCCAGCAGCAACTGGGAGATTGTAGACATTTGATAAATATGGAATTAAAGAGGCTGGCCTTTATTTAGGTAATAAAATAAAGGGTCACCCAGAGCCCAACCATCTGCTCAGGAGAAGGTCCCTTCCGTGGCCTTGAGGACTGCACAGCCCAGGATATGCTCAGAAAAAAGTATTTAAGATCAATGGGATTTAATTTGCAGGGGGGGGCTGAAATCTGTGGAGGGCAGCTGCAATTCTCCCAGCTAGCGTGGAAGAGTTGCAGCAGGTACGGTTCAATTTTGTTCCACGTCCGTTGTCCAGGTCAGCACAAAGCCCATGTGCCACCTTCCTCTGGACAGACTCAGGAGTCCCATTTTTCTACCGGCCACCCAAAGAGGAAAGGCGCTAGAGCAGGAGAGGGTGACCATGGCAACTTTATGACCTGCAGACTTTAACTCCCAGAATTCCTGAGCCAGCCGTAGCACGGCTGTCTCAGCAACCATGACCTTTGGCCTCTCCCCAAATGGGCCCTGCTGCTCTAAGCAGGGAGGCAGGAGCCCACCGGCCTCCTCAAGTCTGCTTCTACATTATGGCCGCCTCCTTTGCTTCCTCTGGCAGCTGCCTTTCCCTCTCGGCCTTTCCCTCTCTCCAACCCTTATCTGGTGGCGCTGGGACTCTCCCCCTGCCGGCCTCCTGCTGCCACCGGAACCCCTGGGAGCCAAGAGCCATAGTGGGATCCTCACAGCTCTGCTGGCATCAAAGAACCACCTGTGACCCACAAAAACACAAGGAAGCAACGCCTGGAATTTCATCCTGCACCATTCGCATTTTTAAAAAGGGGATATTAGCTCTTTTAACACGGCAGTCCCGGCCTCTTCTTTAAAGAAAGCAGGTTTTCCTCTTCTTAGTCAAGGCCCTTTTCTTTGCTATGCGACAATTTGCTTCTCTGGCTACTACACAACAGAGACCACATCCTGGAAGTCCTTGAATACACTTGGAAGTTTAAAGTTAGACACCAACCCTGGTTTAGCTCAACAGACAGAAGCACTGTAATTTAACACCAGCTGCCTGCAATTACTGTAAGTTCGAATCTCTCCAAGGCTCAAGGTTGACTCAGCCTTCCATCCTTTCTAAGGTAGGTGAAATGAGGACCCAGTTTGTGGGGGCAACAAGCTGACTTTGTATAAAATATACAAAAGGATGAAGGCTATTGCTTAACGCATTGTAAGCCGCCCTGAGTCTCCGGAGAAGGGCGGCATATAAGTCAAATAAAAACAAAAACAAAAAACCCAGCTGGGAAGGAGCAACGCAACCCACAAATCTCGCCCCTTGTGGAATATTATCTAGGATATTCAATGATTTCTATCGTTCAAATCTCACATCTAATCCAGGCCTTTGCTTGATCGCTCGGCACCTCTATCGAGTGTATGCATTGTGTTTGTGTGCCCCACGAAAGGACTTGCCCTCCCCCATTAATAAATGCTGTTTGCTTTGCCTGAATTATTGGGGGGGGTCGTATTTTCAGGTGGGCAAAGGAGCCCCCCTGCCAAGGACAAAATCTCTCTCTCTCAAATCCAGGGATCAGGTTCTTATCAGATCCACTCCAAACTGGGGGTTTCCTGTCTTTGGGGGCGGCAGGAGGAGGAAGCAGCAGGAATGTCCTTTTTGACAATCTGGGCCTGTTTGTGAGTTTTAAATTGTAGATTCAGCCAATCTCCTTTCTCTCTCTCTCTCTCTCTCCCCTTAGAAGAAACCAGGAGCTCAGAGCGTCTTTTCCAACTAACAATTTTTATTAAAAGGCAGAAGTTTTCTTGAGCGACCAGGCAACCCCTGTTTCGGGGCCCCTTAGGCTAACCCAGATCTTCTCCTACAATGACCTGAAAGAAACGTTATCCTTGAAAACATCCGGCAGAGACTTGCAGAGTTGATTCCCTCTAAAGGAGGTTATTCCTCACCCTGGGTGGCTTCATAAAGACAGGCAGAGTGTAGCCTTCACAATCCTTCGTCTTCACAGCAAACGTACAGACCGGGTCCCTTCGCAAATCTTTCCGTTCCCAAACAAACTGCCTTGCATCAAACCTAACATCACAAACCGGGTGGAGCGAATTCCCCACCTGCCCTTCCGCTTGGACAGGGGAGCGTTCACGTGGGCCTCCCACCACTGTCCAGGCGGCCCAAGGGCCAGGCAACGCGTTGCTCCCTGCCGGTCGGGCACAAGTCCTGCCATCAGGACAGAGGCCGCTTGTGGAGGTGAAACTGCTGTCTGTGTCCGGGTCTTCCGGGGCAGCGACATTCACGGAGGTGATGAAGTCCCAGGACGCTCCCAGAGTCAGGCACACGGTTCACAGTCGTGAAGGGAAGCAGCTCAGAGCATGAGCTGGTCTTCCAGGCGAGGGGCTGCCAAGCCCCCCACCACCACCACCCAGATCGGCCAGAGCAGCCCAGCTCCCACTGGGATTTCCCACGGCCTGCCACTGGCCTCGGCCCGTGTGGCCTCCTGAGACCTCCCCCCCAACACACACACACTCCGGGACCCAGTGACAGCTGGGCACTTCCTGGAGCAGCCTTGGCTTCCACAGCCTTCCACTTCGGCTTCAGAGGCCGTCCCATCACTGGGCACCACGGCCGTCTGCCACCAGATGAAGCACGGTGGGGGGACGTGCTGGGGAGGCCCGTCTTCAGCAACCGGGCCCTGCCGTCCAAGTAACAGAGTGAAAATTGTCTTCCGTTTGACACGTTGAGGAATAAAAAGTGAAGCGAAGGAGGAGCCGTCCTGAGAACGGGGCGTTCTGTACATGGAAAGGAGGAGCAGGAGGGGAGCCCGGCCGGCGGCTACGGCTGTGGCAGCTGCTGGCGCCCCTCTGTCTCTGCCCGCCAGCGCTCCAGCGTGTGGATCCTCTTCTCCAGGGCCTCCACCTGCCTGTGCACGGCTCCCACTGCGGAAGGAGGCAACCAGGGAGAGTCAGGCGGGGCTGTGGGGAGAAGAGGGGGAGGGGGCCGGGGAAAGGGGCTGCCGGAACAGACCCACAGGTTGGAGGAGGGGGGATCACAGAAGGGGCTGTCCCACTTACAGTTGCGGAGGACGGAGATCCGCAGGTCCTCCAGTGAGCGCTGCAGGGACTCAAGCGTCACCAGAGACTGCTGCGCTTGGGCATCGGGCAAGGCTGAGGGAGAGGAGCTGGCAGGAGATGCCCTCCAAGCCCCATCTGCCAGTCTCCGGCGTTTACCTGCAAAGAAAGGACACCTCCTAATGCCTCCGGGAGCACCTGCAGCCCAGGTAGGAGGAGCTTTGCTCCTTTGGGGCACAGAGGTCCGCCTTGTGGGAGGACGGGACATTTGCCCTGGTGGCTCAAGGATGGTGCTAGAGACCTCGACTCCTCAAGACCCTGGTCCTCCCACACAGGGGAAAACGGGGGGCTGGGGGTCAGCAGTGGCCCCCGCTCTCCCGGGAAGGAGCAGCAGGTGCCTCTGGATGACCTGGGGGGAATAGCCTCGAGCTGCTGCACTTGAAGCTGCAGCTGGCCTTGGAACCCTCCCCCTGGCACTGCCCAGGCAAGCAGGTGGGAGGTGCTCTTCCATGAGGGCTCTGGGGGGGGGAGACACAGGTCGTGGGCGGGGATTTCCATGTCCTCCAGGAGGGGCGCAGGGGGAGGCATGGAAGAACCGGACCCGCTCAGCTTACCCAGCAGCCCGTGGGAGGAGGCCTCTCTGGTCCCAAAATGGGGGTCCCCCTGGTGGAAACAAAAGTCAGAAATGGTTGCCAGGAAGAGAAAAAATTAGGTTCTCCTTGGAACCTCAATTCCTGGCAGAAAGGAGGCTCCCCCAAAACGCCCTTCGGCCCCTTTTCTCTGAATTCAAGACCTCCCCCCTGGACTGATGTAACTGCCAGGAAGCGGCTCTGTTCTGGAGGCGAAACCCAAAAAGGGTGCAATTTGGGGGCACCTTGGAGGCCATCAACTCTCAACACCACCACCCCCTTCCTCTCTGCTCTGCAGGTGGAGCCCCTCCGTGGACTGGCAGCCTCACTCCAGCACCCGGCTTCAACCTCTTCTCCGGCCTGTGAGTTTCTGCATGCCAAACGGGCACTTGAGGGCCCCCCCCCCCTCGGCCCCCACCCACCCAAGGGCTTCCCTCCACAGGCTGGATGCACCCAGAACAGCCACAAGTGGATTTTGCAAGGATGCTTTTGCACAACTGCCAAAGTGGAAAAGGTATTTTCTGCCTCTGGAAATCCCCCCCCCCCCAGGCAGAAGGGGAGGAAAAGAGGGGCGGGGGGCCCTCAGGAGAGCCCAAGGCAAGGATTTCCCCCACCGGGTGGAAGAAACAGCCCGAAAACCTTCCTGGCACCATTTTGGGGCTCTTGCTTAGAAGGGTCCTGGCGGGAGACCGACTCAGCCCTATAAACCCCCATCCGCACTCACCAGGGTGCCAGGGCCCGGGGCTGGCTTCGGGCAGGGCGGTGGGGGCTGCTGTTGCGGAGGGGGCTCTGGGCTCAGGCCTGGTGGTGCTGCTCCCACCATCGGCCCCAAGGACGCGCTTTCACTCTGGGCCCCTGGCAAGGCGTGAGGCGGGAGAGGGGCCACGGTGGGCGCGGAGTAAGAGATGGGGGAGCCCGGATCCAGACCCTGCCAGGAGGAAGAACAATCAGCAGAGCATTCAGAAGCTCATCAAACCCCACCAAGGGCCCCCCTGTGCAAGGGGCCCCTGCCCCAACCAAAGGAGGGGGGCAGCTGGACCCCCCCCACCCCAAATCTTCACGGCCAGTCTCAGGCATCCATGAGCAGCGGCAACTGGCAGACTGGCACCCAATGATGTCTGTAGGGGGTTGTGGCATCAGATAGGGACCGGACAAGACCAGAGATTCTGCTGCCCACAAGTGAAGTGGCCCCTCGCAGGCAACACCCCGAATATGAAGACCTTTGCCAGCTGAAATCCTCAAACTCCCCATTTCCCACCCAAGCGGGCAAAGGGGATGGTGCATAGGGGCGCCCCCACCCCCCGGGCCTACCTGGACTCCTCCACCCTGCAGAACTGATTCCCCCAGGATGCCCCCGCTGGTGTCCAGAGCTCCGAGGGGGGCAGGAAACAGATGCGGGGGCAGGAACTGGCCAGGGGCCGAAGGAGGACTCGAGATGGTCCCCGAAGAAGCCCTCATCGCGCTTTGGGGCTGAGGCATCCAAGGGGGAGAGGCGGCCATCTAGAAAACAAGATGGGCCATCAGGCTACAAGGCACGGGTGCGGGGGGCACCTAATTTGAAGCAGAAGGGGGGCATACCCAAGAAAAGGGCCGGGGGCGTCTCCGGACCCGAACCCACCGCACACAGCCCTCCCCCCCCCAAGCTCAGGGCTTTTCCCACCCAGAAATGAGAGGGGTTTCTTTTGTACTGGGGGAGGGAGAGGAAGGATCAGCACAGCTACAAACCTGTTCTGCAGGAGGGATTGCACCCCCTCCACCCCCCCCCGTATATTCGCCATGCCCGCCTTGGAGAGTCACACTATGGACTTCTAAGCACGGTGAGATCCACCCCCCGAGCCATCCATGGGGCTGGTGTGATAAAGAGCGGTGGTGGCACAGTGGTTAGAGTGCAGGATCTGGGTGCGGAGGAGGACAAGGGTGTGGGGGGGACCAACCGTCAGAGCCGCTTCCTCGTCGTGAGTCTGAGCAGGCGGATTTGCCGGAGAGGCCGCTGGGGGGTCCAGCAAAGTGGGAGAGTTCTGGATGGTCCAAATGGACATGGGGTTCAGCTGACTGACACCTGCAAAAGGCACCCCAGGACAGCTCAGCAGCTGCGGCTGCATCTGAACGCCACTTGCTCCCAAGCCCCAACTCTGTAAGGGTGAAATTCACCTTGGCAATGAAAGGCACAACGCGCTAGAGCCTGGGCTAGAGAGAGATAGAAAAACTGTGCTCCCGTAAGAAGCAGGGCCTACGTGAAACTTGCAAAGGCTTAAAGGAACTCTGGCTTGATGCCACCCACAGAGAGAAACCTTTTGGACATCCCCAAATTGCCCATCCAAACAGGACAGGCAGGCAGGCAGGGGTTGCGCCCAGGAAGAGACCCCGGGCATCGCCACAGAGCCAGTCGGACAACCGAGGCTGCCCCCCCACCTTTGGCCAGGCCAACCAGAAGAAGCCGAATCCTTTGCTGCAGCGATCGTGGGTTAACGGCTCCATCGCTGCAGCCTTTCCCGTCCGAGTTAGCTTAAATATTTGGGTTCTTTGAGGGCAGGAAAAGCTGACGCCGAGATGGGAAGGCTGGCTACAAATAACAAAAGTGAAAGGAAGTGTACCTGGGGGGTCCCGTGTGGGGCTCAGAGGCACTTCTGGGGCGCCCAGCTGACTGCCTGTCAATAAAAACACACAACCCTCTTCAATCTCTTCCGTGGTTCTGCTGAAGGGTGTGAAGCCGTCCGAGTGAAAACAGATCACGTAAGCCCATTCTCTCTTTGCAAAACACGGTCAGGTTTGCTCATCAGCCTGGCTGAAAAGGGCTTTTTAGTCCCTGCCACTCACCCTCAAGGGCCAGCTATTCCAGCCTGGGGGAGGGGGGAGGGGGGGGGATAACCTCCGTGCAGCACCCTTCGTGAGAAGCGAAGCCAAGTTAACTTGCTGCAAGCCACAAATGCTCCCTTCATGGAAAATTATCTTGCGATTCACGAACTAAAGGGAGCCTTTGTGGGGAGCATCACGAGGGACTATCCCGGACAGATCTTCCGTTCGGGAGAGGGGAAGACATGCGGCCTTCAAGGGAGCAGGTGGGAGGCGTCCTCGAGGACAGAAAGTGCCTCAGGACCAGTTTTTTGGGGGGGTGGGCGTGGGTCTTCTGGCTGTTCAGAACAGGGGACTTCTGCCCCGTTCCCTGCTGGACTCCACAGAGTGAAAAGATGTGATCCGAAACGGGCTGGTTTTGTCTAAAAAGGCTCTGTTAGTCAAAGGCAGAGTCTGCTTTTGGCAGGTTGAGAAAGAGGCCGTGACGGAAGACACTCACAGCTAGCAGAATGACAACTGCCCAAGAAGCACTGGTGAAGCCAAAGGGAGCCTGGGGAAGGCATTGGCCCAGATGCCCACCTGAAATGGAGGGACAAGTGGCCATTCGAAAGGACAACTGCCCGTCTGTTGCTCTGAACTGGTCCAGCCTGTCAATCAACCAACCATGAACGGTCAAAATCTCTGAACATCAAAGACCTTTGAAAGACAGCTGCGATCCAGGACAACCGGAAGGGCCAAACAGCAAAAGCCAACCAGAGCAACCAAGTCCTCCAGAGAAAAGTTTTATTAGAAAAAACAACAATTACGCCCAAGCCGGTGAATATAAAACACCAGAAAGCATCCGGGCTAAGGGAAGGACACGTCTCCCGCACCATGACCAGAAAGCTCACCTCAAAGGCGGCCTGCTCTTCCCGCCAACTTTCAGGGAGCCGTCAGCAAAACAGAGCAGCTGCAGCCAAGAGACCCTGCCCAGCCTTGGTGAGAGGAAGCCCACCTCTCACAAAACCCGTCCCTGAACATCCTTTCCACAGGAGAAATTCCGCTCAAGCAGCGGCCAGGGTTGATGTCATGCCTGCCCCAACTTGGGTTCTTAGGAAAGAAAGACCCTCGACTCCATTTGTGCGACAGATATACTTTCAAACTAAAACCGGAGCAAAGCCAGAACTAAAAATCTGCACCTGAAGGTTCCCCCATTTACTTTCCCCTATACTCATTCCTCTCCCCTGTTATCTCCCTACTGTCCAGTTACATTCGAAGGAATTCTTTTGGTAAGGGTCCCTGCATCAGGAGGGGCCATTGCATTCTGGCCTCGGGACGATGAGCCCAATGTCTCAGGAAAGCACAACCAGCAGTTTCGGTTCCGACTTCCCCATCGGCTCCCTCCCCCTCCCCCCCCCATAGTCTACATGTCAAGCTGGCATCTAGCAAAGTGAGGCTGAAGCTCCAGAGGGCAGTTCTGACCATCCGTTTGGGGTCTGGAGGGGAAGGAGAGGCAGCAAGCTCACCCGGTTCACAAGAGACGCACAGACCCACAGGCACCCCTGTTTCCCCTTGCTCCCTGGCCGAGTACTCACTGAGAAGCACCCCAGGCTGGGTGGGTCCCACAGGTGAGGCCTGGCCGTCCGCAGTGCCTTGTTTGTGGCCCCGGAAGGTCCTCTTCTCCCTCAGTTCCTTCTCTATTTTGAAGAGCTTCACCATAATTAGGCAGCAATACACGTCCTGGAAAGCAGCAAAGCTGGTGCTTGAGAGCAGGGCGAATGAATTCCTCGTGCAAAGGGCCCCGAAGAGAGTCAGGCCACGGAATCAGCTGATGAGCCCCAGGGAGGATGGGAGGGAGGGAGGAAGGCAGAGCCTCCAGCGGAGGAGAGAGAAGGGAGCTGCGTCCATCCGCTGGGCCAGACGGAGGAGAGCGAGGGAAGGAATCGGCCAAGGGGCCCCTGGGGGCCATCCCAGAAAAAACCCTGAAGGACTGTGACAGTCAAGTGAATTTTGCCTCACTTGGCAACCTTTCCTGGCACAGTTGTTAAGTGAATCATTGTAGTTAAGTTAGTAACATGGTTGTTAAGTGAATCTGGATTCCCCGTGGACTTTGCTTGTCAGAAGGTCGCAAAAGGAGACACTACAGCCGTCATAATTATGAGTCAGTTGCCAAGTGTCTGAATTTTGATCACATGACCAAGAGGACATTGCAACGGTTGTAACTGTGAAAAATGGTCATGTTGCTTTTTCCAGTGCCGTTGTAACTTCAAACGGTCACTAAATGAACTGCTGTAAGTCTTGAGTTATGCCGATGGCCATCTTCTCCCTGGACCTCAGCAGAGCCGTCAACAGATCAGCCCTTAAAGAGAACCCAAAGTGTGGGGGGGGGAAAGGGGGGGCTCCAGCTGGAGTGGGGTCCCAGGGCTCTGTCCGGGCTCTTCTCCTTGGGAGGCTAGCAGACAGACGCAAGGCTGGGTGGGCAGCTCGTACTTTAGACAGAGAAGACCCCCAAAAGATCTAAACAGGTTTGATGATGTTTCAGAGAGAGAAACGTGAAGCCCAGGTCTGGGTGGGCAAAGCTCAAGTCCCGGGAGGGGAGCCCCAGCTAGGCATGGGCATGGGGAAAAGGGCATCTGGGTGAGGAGGACAGCAAGACCACCTACCCAGTGGTTGGTGGACTGGTAGACATCCCCTTCCACTTTCTTGCCGTAGGACACCACCTTCTCCACCTGGTGATCCTTCAGGACGGCCAAGTCAGGAGCGGGAAAGATGGCATGGACCCTGCAGGGGGAAAAAGACGGCCGGCCGTCAGCAGGACTGGCAAAACATTGCCCCAAGTGTCCATGGAGATTCTCAGCCATCCAGGTCACGGTTGTCCCAAAGGTGTTTTTTCAGGAGGCAACTGGATTTTTCCCGTTTTTCCTTTTTGAAGACGTTTTGCTTCTCCTCCAAGAAGCTTCTTCAGCTCTGACAGGATGGTGGGGACTGAAAGGATTTATATTCCTTGAGGAGCTGGTCATTTGCATTCTTTCTAGAGAGTCGCTGAGGCCACTTGGAGGTGACCCTGAGGACACAGATAAACCTCCAGGTGGCCTCAAGGACTCTCTAAAAAATGCAAATGACCAGCTGTCCGCAAGGAGTGTAAATCCTTCCGTTCTCCACTGTTCAGTCAGAGCTGAAGAAGCTTCTCGGATGAGAAGTGAAAAAAGAGAAGTCTAGTTGCCTCCGGGGATTGCCAGGAGTCCTTTGGGACCTTTGGGATTGCCACGGGAGCTAATACAGTCAAATAAGTAAAGTAATTGAAAAAAACATTATTTTTATAGCTCCCTAGATGATGCAAAGGAGTTTGAGAAGCTTCAACTTTAGAAAAGCCAGGAGAACCAGGTTTTATTTAGAATCCCACATCCCCAACCTCCAACAGATGAAGATGCGGGAGCAGAATAAAATGCAGGTTCTATTTCTCCCCACAAAACATCAAAAAACAAGGAACATCAAAGCCTTTTTTTCGCCTTTCTTTCCCATTTCCTCGCTGCCTCTTCCAGGCCGCAGCCCAGCACGGTTCAGCCCTCCCCCCCAAAAAAAACCCCCAGAAACCCCCAAAGGGTCACTCACAGCCTCTGCACCACGTAATCGCGCAGGTCTTGGTCCGTGTTCTCGTACCAGTCCTTCCTCTGCTGGAAGTGGGAGTGTGGAATCGCTTTGAGCGCAGAATACTGGAAACGCCCAGCCCCGACAGCCGGTGCAGCTTCTCCAGTTGAGGGGCTGGAAAAAGGACCACAAAAGGACACCCTGCAGCTTCTCGTTTGCGTTCCAGAGCCAGAAATTAAACCACCAGCAGCTGCAGCGGCAGCGGTTATTTCGCGGTTGAACATGAAGGAAAAAAATGAACTAGGGGGAAGCCTTTAAGGAAACGGAGGTCAAGGACCCTTTGGGCGAATGGTCCCCAGAAGTCCTCACTCCCCCCTCCCCCCCCTCAAAGGGTCTCTTACTTTGGCGCCCCAGGTGTTGCCAGGAGAGCCGGAGAGGGAACGCCCGGCTGCCTGGTTCCTCCAACCTCAGCATCCCCGGGATCAGCGGCTGCTGAAAGAGAAGGTTTCCCCCGTTAGCTCAGAGAGAAGGCCAGCAGGTGGACAGATAAAAACAAGGGCTGCCACCGGGCCTGGGACCAGAGCTGACCAACCCACCCGTTGGCCACCGGCTGCTGCGCTTCACAGAAAAGAGAACTCGTCCAAGGGGCCACGAACCAGGCCCAGGGAGGCCGCCTTCTTTTTAACAGGGAGGGAGGGAAAGGACAAAGGGAAAGGCAGGGCAGGACCTGCCACTAATCAATTAATCAACCAACCAGAGTGCAGCTGCAAGAACTTTGGAGGTCTTCTAGTCCAACTGCTCAAGCAGGAGATCCTGTATCATATCGGACAGGTGGCTTGTCCAGCGTCTTCTTCAAAACCTCCAGACTCAGGAGCTGTCAACCCAACCTCCCACCACTGGCTTCCCCATGGCCCCTGCTTGGCAGGAGAGGAGAGCGTAGGTCACTTGACCCCAGGACACAGCCACCCTGACCATCCGGTGGCTCAGCACCTGAAAGGGGTCGCTTGGCTGTGGGGACACTGTGGCAGCCACAACTTGGAGAACAAGTCACAAGTTTTCTCATCAGCACCGCTGCCCCTTTGAACAAGCGGCTGAACATACAGTTGTTAACAAGCAGTATTTCTCTGCTGGTTTCCAATGGCCACCAAGACTTGCAACTTGTCTTTGTGAAGTTTAGGATGGACTCAGGTCTCCTGCTTGGAGCAGAGGGGTTGGACTAGAAGACCTCTGAGGTCACTTCCAGCCCTACGATGCTCTGTTCTATGTTCTTTACGTCCCTGTGTGAACTAGCAAGAGGAAGGCGACTCAGATCCCATTAAAGCAAGGACCTGCTTAGTGGGGGGGGGGGGCGCTTTGCCTCCTCTACCCCTCCCCCCAGCCACCTTTCTCACTGGTCTGGACACCCACCCCCCATTTCAGGGCCGGGCCCTCCCTTCCTACTGCCCCTCAGCTGAAACCCCACTCAGAGCCTCAGGCCAGGCAGCAACCGAGGGCAGAGAAGACAGAAGAGCCCCCAGAGGCAAGGAAGGGGTCGGCCGCTGGGGCCATGGATCAGGGCAGCCTCCCCAGAAGGCCCCATTTTCCACGAAGCCAGCAGCCAGTTGAGGGAACTGAATGAAGCCGTGGGGGCTCCTGACTGGGAAGCCCCCGAGACGGACCCAGGGATTCAGCTACAGCTGGGACTGGTCCTCCACAAAGCCAGGTACCACCTAGGATGGAGGCAGCCAATGTGCTGCCCATGGGAGCCTCACCGGGTAATGCCAGCCTGGCTGGTCTCTCTCTCAGCCGAGGGAGGCCGGTGGCATTCCCTTCTCTTTGGGCAATGCTCAATAAGATGTCAGGCAGGGGCACCCCACCGTAGCCACTTGGAAGACCTGTGGACTTCAAGTCCCAGAATTCTCCAGCCACCACAGCTGGCTGGGGAATTCTGGGAGTTGAAGTCCACAGGTCTTCAAGTGGCTACAGTTGGACACCCAACATAGGGCATTGCTCCCAATGCCCTCCCCACTGGCCTTTCTCCTCCCCATCCTGGCAGAGGCTCCCCTGCTCTTAGCATCTTTCACAAGACACCCCACGGATCCCGCAACCTCCCCCTGGGATCCCTGCCCTACCCAGACCCAGCCATACCTGGCTCAGGGGCGCCCCTCCTGGTCCAGCCAGTGTCCCGTCTCTCCATCCTGGGGGGCACCTTGGCCGGGGCTGCCTCCAGAGGTTGCGCCCACCAGGCCTCCACCTTCCTCTGCAGGGCGAGGCAGTAGGCCTTGAGGTCCTCCTGCATCAGGTGCGCCTCCTTGAAGGGGATCTTCCAGAGCGCCTCCTGCATGGCCACCACCTTCCCCTGCAGGGCCACCGCCATCTCGGGCGGCGTCTCTTGCAGGCTCTCGCGCACCGCGTGGACCTTCTTCTGCAGCGCAGTCACGATGCCCGGCAGGGCGTAGAGGATGCGGGGCAGGCCGCTGAGGTTGTCCTCCAGGATCTCGTCCAGCGCGTGCTCCAGGTCGGCCAGCTTCTCCTGCACGGCGCCCTCCTCCTTGCGTGGCGTCTTCCAGAGGGCCCGCTGCATGTCGCCCACCTTCTTCCAGAGGGGGCTCCAGAGCACGTTCCACAGGTAGTAGGAGAGGACGCTGATCTTCTTCTTGGCGATCTCGCGCAGCGCCCCACGCAGCTCCTGCGCCTTGGCCCACAGGGCCTCCCGCAGGGCTGAGCGGGCCAGCGCTTCCTGCAACGCGTCCGCCTCGGCCAGCAGCGCGTCCGCCTCGGCCAGCGGCTCCGTCCAGAAGTCGGTGGCAGCCTTGCGCAGCGCCTTGGCCTTGGCCCGCAGCAGCAGCACCTCCCGCACAGGCAAGGCCTGCAGGGCCGCCTGCAGGGCCGCCAGCTTCTCCCGCAGAGCCTCCCGGTCGCCAAGCGGGGCGGCGGCGGCGGCCTCCCGCAGTGCCCGCAGCTCCTCGGCCAGCGCCGCCACCTTCTCCTCACTGTCCAGGTCAGAGGCGAGCAGGAAGACCTCCGTCTTAAGCGCCCAGACCTTCTCCAGCAGGGCCGCCGCCTCCTCCTCCCAGCGGCCGCCCCGCAGGGCGCTCAGCTGCTCCCGCCACGCACCTGGCCGGGCCCGCCCAAAGGCCTCCTCCAGCGCCCCCAGCACGGCCAGCAGCTCGCCCGGCTCCTCCGCCTCGGGGCTCTCCTGCAGGGCCTGGCGCAGCGCCCGCGGCTGCTTCAGCAGGGCAAAGACCTCGTCGAAGGGGGCGCTCTGCAGGGCGTCGCGCATCTCCTCCAGCGAGCCCCACCGCGGGGCCGCCGCTGCCGAGGCTTCCGAGCCCTCGCCCTCCAGGGCGCGCAGCAGCAGCCCCACCGGCCCGGCCTCCCCCTCCCGCTCCGGGACCTGCTGTTCCTGCAGGGCGGCGCTCAGGGCCCGCGCCTCCCGCCGGGCCGCTTCGGCCTCCTCCAGCGGGGCGGCCCAGAGCGCCTTCTCCAGCCAGGCCACCCACCAGCTGTCCGTCTTCTCCAGCAGCGCCAGCGCCTTCTCCAGCGCGGGCCGCAGCTCCTCCAGCGGCGCCTCGGCCAGGCAGTCGCGCAGCGCCGCCGCCTTCTCGCGCAGCGCCCCCGGCCGGGCGGCCCCGCGCAGCGCCCGCGCTTCCCCGCGCAGCGCCCCGGCGCGCTCGGCCCAGCCGCCCTCCTGCTCCAGCAGCGCGTCGCGCACGGCCAGCAGCTGCCGCACCCGCGCCCGGCCCTCCCCGCGCACCGCCCGTTCCAGCCCGCGCAGCGCCTCGCCCAGCCGCTCGCCCACCAGCTGCTCCAGCGCCAGCTGCAGGTCGCCGCTCTTGGCGATCAGGTCCCCGACGCCGCCCGGCTCCCACAGCGCCTCGGCCAGCGCCTCCCGCTGCGCCGCCGCCTTGGCCTGCGAGGCCGCCTCGGCCGCCGACACCACCCGCGGGCCGCCCTCCTCCCTGGCCGGCGAGCCCGGGCGCCGCGCCTCGCCCCCGCCCTCCTCGCGGCCCGGCCCCCCCGGCGGCGGCGGCGGCGGCGGCTCGCCCTTCTTGGCGATGGCGAAGGCCGAGGCCAGGGCCCGCTCGCGCAGCGCCTGCATCTCCCGCAGCAGCGCCATCTCCAGCCGCAGGAAGGTCTGCAGCCGCTCCTGCTTGGCCTCCGACAGCGGCCCGGCCCGCGCCAGCAGCGCCTCCCGCCCGCGCCGCGCCTCGCTCAGCTGCTCCAGGCAGCCCTCCAGGCTCATCCGCGGCAGCTTCACCTCCCGCCGCCAGCGCGCCCGCACCGGCGCCGAGACCCGCTCGGCCAGCAGCGCCTCCGCCTCGGCCAGCAGGCACGCCATCCACTCCGGCGAGAAGGCCGGCGCGCCGCCCCCGACGGGCCCCGCCGCCCCCGGCTCCATCGCCGCCGCCGACCCGCCGACCGCGCGCTCGCCCGCCCGCCCGCTCGCTCCCTCCGCCGGCGCTTCCGGTCCAGGCAGGCAGGCAGGCAGGCAGCGAGGGGCGGGCCCGGGGGGCGGAGCGCGCGGGTGGGGGCCGCCCTGCCGCTGCTCCGGGGGGCTCCGCGGCTGGAAGGCTGCTTTGCCGCCGGGAGTTCGGGCCGCAGCTGCGGAAGCCCGGAGCCCAGAAGGGCGCAGTGCAGCCCAGGACGGAGGCGGCGGGCGGCGGGGGCGCTTCTGCCGGAGGAGGAGGAGGAGGCTGAAGAAAGGCGCGGGAGGCGGCCGAGATTGCGCGCACCCCGAGCCGGATGCAACGCGCGGCCGCGGGCAGAGGCGCCGATCCCGGCGGCAAGCGCGATAGTCCCGGGCGCGGGGTGAGCGCTGCCCGCCTTGCAAATCCGACCTTTCGGCGGGAGCCGCCGGCGAACGAGAGGCCGGGCCGGGCCGGCTGCTGCTCGGGAAACGCGGCTCCCAGTTGGCCGGAAATGACTCTTCCGCTCGCCCTGCGCCGCCGCCCCCCGCCCCGCCTCGCCTCTCCTGTCCGCTGCGGCCCCCAAAGCTCAAGCGGGGCCGTCAGAAACGGAGCCGCGAAGGCGGTGGGGGGGGGGGCGCTGGGACGGGAAAGGAAGGTCCGTAAAGCTGAAGGAGGGGCGAAGAGGCGCGGGGCTCGGAGGAAAGGTGGCCCGGGGCGCACACGCGCTCACACCCCCCCCTCCCCGCATTGTGTCTCCAGGGCCCTCGGGGCTCGCTTGGTTCCAGAGCGGGAGATTCCGCAGCTGTGCTGGCAGCCAGAAACCGCGTCTGCCTCGCGGCTTCCAAGGTTTCTTTTCCCCACAAGGACCAATGAAGGGGCCCCCATTCCCTGCCATGGGACCCATATGTTGGGGGCTTTCCATGCCAGAGATCCAGGGTTCCTCCCCAGGAGGCTCCTGCGAGAGGGGGAGCGTGGGGGCGCAGCTAGAGCCCCTCTCTGGCTTTGGCCGCCTCACAGGGACGGCTGCTGCTGATTTTGGAGAACGTTTCAGGCACATTTAGGTGGCGGTCTGGAGGATTATAAAATCACTTTATTGGAACTAAAACTTTAACTGAAACGACGGTGAGAAATCTTTGTAGGTATGTTTGTGCCTGTGTGTGTTGTTGCTTCCCTTTTGATTTTTTCTTTTATTACATACATGTTTTTAATAGCTGATTTGAGAGAGAGAGAGAGAGATTCTTCTAGCTTTTTGGGCAAAAGTCGAAAATAAAAAGAAATGCAGAGCGGGCACAGGGGAGGAAGGCAGAACCTCTGTCGCCCTCCCCTTCTGCATCCAAGCCCAGGAAATGGGGGGGGGACACTGCAGCTGCTGGGTCAGACGAGGAGAGGGAGAGAGATGGGGTCAGTCCCCAAAGCTGCAAGGGATGGAGCCTTTAAGCCCAGGCAGCAGAGGGTGCCCGGTCAAGGGCTAACCCAGCTGCAGAAACCGAACCCCCCCCCCTGCAGTTCCTCTCTCAGCAGTGGCTGCCTGCCTGCCCAACCCCTTTACATGCTAGGCCACGGGGCCACCACCTTGAGAATCCCTCCCAGTCTGTGGCGGGGAACAGGGGAAAGCAGCCAGTGCTGTGGGTGCCTCAGGTGGCCTAGAGAAAAGTCCAGGTTGTGTGCAGCTGGACACATCTTCCACATTCTCATTCAATATTAAAAGGATAATAAAATTTATGGATTCAGACGAACTGCCCAGATTATGAAATTGGTCGTGCTGGGAAAAGCAGCAGCTCTATTGTGGCCCCCAAATCTGCCTTGGCCGCTCCCTCCCACAAGAGACAGAGTCACCGCAGCCTCCAGGAGGGCTCCCTGCAAATGGGGCCAAACTCTGGGCTGTTCGCCCCGCCTGCCTCAGCCCTGGCACACGCACAGTTTTATTTGATGCCAGCTGGATTCACAGATCAGAAAAGCACCATCGCCATACGGGGTTCAGCTCCCCTCTGGATGCACCAAACACCCCCCCCCTTTTTGGGCACAGCTGAGCGTGTCCCACCGCAGAGCCGTGCCAGTCCCTGAAAAGCCCCAATGCGCCAAACTACCTCCCGGCTCCTTGCGTGGAAAGCCACCTCGGCCCAGTCCCAGAATGAAATCGCTCACCCATCGTGATTAAGCATTTCTCCTTCATTGGTGATTATGTGTCAAAAAACATAACAGTGTCTGAATTAGAACCAAACTCCTTTCAGTGCCAGAGAAAAATTGCCTCGACATCTCTGGAAAACGGGTGAAGATGTCATCAAAAACGGGGGAAATAAAAACCCCAATTGTGGGGCTTCCAATCTGCATCTGAGCCAGAACATCTGCAGCCCAGCCGAGACCCCTTCCCTGAGAAACTGCTGCTCCCCCCTCCCCCCCAGGGAAGAAGGCCCCACCAGAGTGCCTCAGCCAGGAACCCCCATCCTCCGGGGGCATCTTTTCCATCAGGGAACCGGCGGCGGCAGCAGCAGCAGCAGGGTGAACAGCCGAGCAAGAGGCCAGCCCAGGCCCCACCTCATGGCTTCCAAAGGGAGTCTCTTCTGGGGGAGACCAATGAGGAGGGGGGCAGCGGTGACTCCTGGGAGTCTTCCTGTGGGATGGGGGGTCTGCAGTGGCCAGGAGCCCCTCCCCGAGAATTCACTGTGCCCAGTTTTGCTTAAACATCCCTTTGGACTCATCTGGGTACAAAACGGAGGGGAGAATTCACTGGCAGGGGAACCAGAGGGGCCCCTTGAGGCCATCCAGTCCACCACCACCCCCGGGCAGTCCAAGCCAAAGATTTCCAGCTCTTCTTCAATCTTGCTAATTTGTCTCAGTCATTCTTGGTGCTCAAAAATGAACAGTCCACAGAGCCCAGTTGAGGGGAAGATTTCTTTGCAATTCGGAAATTGTATTTCTAGTAAGGCAGCCTCAAATGGCCTTTGCTGTCTCTGTGGCTGCCACACCCGGCCGCCTCTTAACGGACTGAGCAATTCCACCAGGATGGCTTAGACTTCCACCCGAGTTCCTGTGGTTCGTCTCCCTAAGTGTTACTGGGCACATCCCCCTCCCCCCCCCCAATCCTAGACTGTTTTGGCGTTTGATTCTCAATTCTGCATCGCTACAGCTGGCTCATTTCCTCTGACCTTCCAGGATTGTTTCTGGGCTCCAGGCTGAAGTGTCCCACCTAGCCACTCCCCCTCTCTTCATCCCATGCTTTCATGAAAAGATTGGAGGGCCCCTTCCTAGCACCCGTTCACCCCTCTCTCTCCCATTGGGTGGGTGGGTGGGGGGCCCAGGAACTCCAGGAGTAGGGCTTCCTAGCCACTGAAGCCAACCAGCCCAAACCTCGGCAGTTTGCTGGCCAGGACACGGTGTTCCTGGAAGCCACTGCCCACTCCCCAGCACAGGCTTTGCTCACTAAGCAGCAGCCCCTCGAGGGGGTCCCCACCCGCTTCCGAGTGATTCTTTCAAGCACCCAAGAGAAGGGCCTTCACGCTGAGGCCCCAGGAGGCCAGATTGTGGCCAGAGGACTCAACTCAGTGCCTCCCACCAAGATGGCCTGCCCTGCAGAGACGGCTGCTCGGGAGACTCGGCCTCTTGACTGGTGCAGAAGCCCACAGAGCTGTCGGCACCTGGAAGAGCAACAGCAGCATTACCGTCCAAGCAATTCCCGGCCCACAATTCCCACATTTTTGGGGGTGGGAAAGAGGGCGATACTGGCAGAAGAAGGAAAATCTGCTTCCGGCATCCATATCTCTTCAGGGGAGAGGGCCACATGGGAGCACCCCAGATATTCCCATGCTCGCTCCCTCCCCCCCCCAAGGAAGACCAGCCGAGCAAGAAGACAGGCAACCCACCCTGCTCTCAGCCCCCCACCCTTGGATGGAGTTTGGGGGGAAAGCAAGCCAAGCCCCACTTCTGCTTTCAGCAGGCAGCCCCCCTCATCCCCCCCGCCCTACTTGTAGGTCCAGCAGGCGGTGGCCCAGCCCTGCCCCTTGCAGAGCTCCTTGTGCTTCAGGAAGCAGCTCTGGACACGGAACTTGCGGCCACAGTCCTGGCAGGCGTGCAGGTTCCCGTCGTGGGTCTTCATGTGCTCCGTCAGGTGGTGCTTCAGCTTGAACTTCTTGTTGCAAACGGAGCAGCCGAAGGGCCGCAGGCTGAAGGTCAGCATGATATGCCGGTCCCGCTTGGGCTTCACAGCGAAGCGCTTCCCGCACAGGCAGCCAAACTTCTTCCCGTCAGGCGCAGACATCAGCTTGACAGGCGCATGCACCGCCTGGCCGTGCACAGCATGGGAAAGGATCTCGTTGCCGTGCAGGTCCACGGGCTTCCACGAGCTCTCGGGGAAAGCCGCCACAGAGTCTGCGGAAAGGGCCTGGGACTTCCCGGCCAAGCAGCCAGGAGCCGTGGATGCCCCGCTGGGCAGGGGGAGGTAGCCGAGCTGCCCGCCGGCCTGGATCTCCGGCTGGCAGAGGTCCGGCACCTCAGACACACCCGGGGGCCGGCCCAGGGATTTCAGGTAGCCAGCCTCAGAGAGGCAGGAGGCCGGGCTGCTCCCCAGCACGGAGGAAGCGGCCTCCTCGGGGTCGAAGTGCTCCTGCTTGATGTAGAAGACTTTGGGGGCCTCGTGGGGCGAAGCAAAGGCAGGGCCCGGCTCCCTGGGGCCTTTGCCAGGACGGCCCCTGCCGCGGCGGCCCTCTTCCTCCTCCTCCTCCAAAACCACCTTCACCGGCCGGTCAGCAGAGCCGCTGCAGATCTGGGCCTGCCGGTGGTTCTCCTCCTCCTCCTCCTCCTCCTCTTCCTCCTCCTCCTCCTCTTCCTCCTGGGACACCCGGATCTTCACCACCTCCTCCTCCTCCTCCTCCTCCTCCTCCTCCTCGTCCAAGCGCCGCGGGCGGCGGGGGCGGCCGGACCCTCCTCCGCCGTCCTCCCGGAGGCCCGGGCGGTGTCCGCCGCCGCTGCTGCTGCTGGGGCTCTCGGCGGCGCGGGCGGCCCAGGGGCGGCTGTAGGAGAGGGGCCCTCCGGCCGCCTCCAGCTCCTTCAGGATGCCCGAGCACTGGTCCACCACCTGCCACATCTGCAGCCCGCTGGCCGCCAGCAGGTGCCCCGGCAGGGCGTCGAGCAGCAGCCGCAGGCGGCCCGAGTAGATGAGCTGCAGCAGGTTCTCGAAGGCTTCCGGCTCGATGGCGCCCGGCAGGACGAGGCGGCCGGCGTCGCGCAGCAGCAGCTTGTCGTGGAAGTAAGGCGAGGCGGCGGCCAGGACGCTCTTGTGGGCCTGGAAGACGCGGCCCTGCACGTGCACCGACAGGTCGCAGAACTTGCCCTCCAGCCGGTGCCGGTTCAGCGACTCCAGCAGCCCCGCCGCGTAGTGCGGGAACTCGATCTGCACGCTGCGCGGACCCTCCGCCTCCATGGCGGCCCCCGCGGGAGCCTCGGCTGGCGCTCAGGCGGCGCTCGGGGGGCCTCGGGACGGCGGCGCTCTGCACATGCTCAGGGGAGCCCCGCCCCCGGGAGCTGGGACGCCCTCTGCGCATGCGCAGGGAAGGAGGAGCGAGCCGCTGGGGATCCCCGCGGGGGGGATCGGAAGGGAGGCCGCCGACGGAAGCGGCCCCGCCCCCAAGCGCCTCGCCCAATTAGGAGCCGGAAAGTGGTTACTGTCCGACCTCCCGCTCCTTTCCGGGCCAATCAGAGAGCGTCCGGAGATGGGGGCGGTGTTTCGAAGTTTTGCCCGCCCTGTAGCGTCATCGGGGACAGGAGCGAGAGGCGGTGATCACGACTGACCCGGATGTAGATCTGCTCGCCGATTGGACCTGCGCGCCCATAGGCGGTGTTTGTTTTTTCTTCCAGTCCCTCGCTAAGGACGCAATACGGATGGGTGGGCGGGCCTTCCCCCGATTGGCTCAACGCAGAGTGGGCGTGGCGCGCAGGACTCCCAGCCACGTGGTCTTCCCGCGGCTTCGTTCCGGCGTTCCGTCCAGGTGACCCGAGTCTGCTCCCGGCTGCCTCCACACGACCCCCACCCCACGCGGGCGCCAGGAGAGCGCAGCCCCCGCCGCCTCCTCCTCCTCCTCCTCCTCCTCCTCCTCCCCGGCCTTCGCCCCTTTCCCTGCGGCGGGAGGGCAGCGGGAGAAGCGGTCGGGACCCCCACGCACGCACCGCCCCCCCCCGCCCTCAATGCCCGAACGAGAGACGTGGCATAAAAGACCAACTGCTTTTATTAAACATTTTCTTCTGTTGTCACCACACACTCCAGGAAAAAAATGAGAAAAAAATAAATCTGACATAAAATAACCCCGAGAGCTGGAAAGGGAGGGAGGGAGGAGAGAAAGCGGGGGGGGGGAGCCGAGCGGCCTGAGCCCCCTTCCGCGGACTGGGAGGGGGGAGGGGGGGTCTCTGTACAGGGGGGGGGGAGGACGCGCACTCGTCTATGTACAGTACAAATCCCGCGTAATTACAGCCGGGGCGGGGGAAGGCAGTCCATGGGGGTCAGGCAGCGGGTGGTGGGGGGGGGATTCACATATGTACAAACTTGGAGTCATCGTCATAAGAGTAATAATAATTCATCATATTCATCATAATACGTATAAATATCTACGGTGCTCACCTGAGCCCCTGTCATTGTCCGGGGGGGGGGGAGAAAAGAAAGGAGGGGGCGGGGAGTCCTACCAAAGAAAAGGGGGAGGGGAGGAGAATGGCTGGGGGGGGGGACACGGAGGGGGGGGCGGACGGCGTGGGGGGGAGGGAGGGAGGGGGGATGCAGCGGGAGAGCGAGAAAGAAACACCACGACGAAGCAGCGGCGCGCGCCAAACACTTCCACCCAGCGGCAGCCCCGGGACGAGCACGACGGACGGACGGACGGACAGACGGACGCGAGCGAGCACCACACGAGTCGAGTCGGGAGCCGGTCCCCTCCCTTCGCTTTCTCCGGCGGGGGGCACGAGCCCCGCCCCGCCCTGAGCAGCACCCTGCAGCTGGGCAGTTCCGAAAAATGGCTTCTTTTGCGAGTTTGATGAGCCCCCTCCGGGGAGACGGGAGAAGGGGAAGGGGAGGAAGAAGGGAGCTCCCCTCTCCCTGCATTGGCCCCCCCGCCCCAAGAAGAGAGAGACCCCCAGGGAGTCCTGCGGGGGGGGGAGGGATGCTGTACAGAGAGGCAAAGCCCTTTGTCAGAGAAGGGGGCACAGATTACTTGGGGGGAGAGAAGGGGGCAGGCCTAGTGGTGCTCTTGGGGAGGGACCGACCCCCTGCGCCCTGGCCCCCCGGGAAGGCGCGAGGGGAGGGGGCCCGTGCGGGAGGGACCCCCAACCGTCCCGGCGGCCGGCTGAGGAGAGCGCTCGAAGGGGGAACCGGGACCAGCCTGCCCTCCCCCGAGGCCACGCGCCCTTCCCCAGCAACGCAGAGGTTGGGGGGCAGAGGGGAGGGCTGGAGACCCCCTTCCGCCGCTGCCTTGAGAAAAGTGAAGAGTCGGGGGGAGGGATGCCACTCCTGAGAAGTACGGGGGAGGGGAGGGGAGGGGCAGGCACCGTCCACGGCTCTGTCCAAGAACGGGCGGTCCCAGGCGGGCACGAGGGGTAGGTAAGATTGTCGTCTCTGTCCTGCTATAAAACACCCTGAATGCCTCCGGACCCTTCCCCGGCCCCCGGCGTGTGATTCCAGACTAGCCCCCCGCCCCACCCACCGCCCCACGGCTGCCCGCTGGCTGGTGGGGGGGCGGGACGAGGCAGGGGGCAGTCGCTAGTGCTCAGACGCGGTGCTGCGAAACTCTCCATTTTCCGTGATCTGGAGTCGCGGGAGCGGAGGCGGTTGCCCGGGTAGGATCCCGTTCCAGGGCGGACCCATAACGCCGCTCAGACGCGGGTTTGCTGCACCCACGGCGGAAAGCTGCCTCTCCTGCAAGAGAGCGAGAAGGGGAGAGCGCCCCCTTATTTATTACGGTTAGGGGGCCCAGGCACTCGCAAGGCACCTGCTTTGATTCCCCCCCCCACCTCCCTCATCGACCCCTCCCTCCCAGCAGGAAGGCTCCCCCCCACCCCAACTCACAGGGCCTCCCACGATGAAGGTGGGGGGCCTCCCCCAAGGAAGAGAGCTTCTCTTTTCTTCCCCCAGCCAGCCCCCCCAGGCCCTCAGCTCTCCCAGCAGCTGAAATTAGGGTCCCTGTGGCACTCCAATTTTCAGGGGTGACCAGGTAGCAAATGATCTGGCAGTTGGAGGTGGTCAGATGGGGCTTCCCTCCTGGTAAGGACTGGAGGCTGAGGGACCCCAACTTCCTGCCCTGGGGGGGGGAGGGACTCAACCAGGTCAGAGGATAGAGATCTGTTGCAATTGTCTTTGTCACAAAGTTTGGGGGAGGGGCCAGCCAGGCACCCCAAAGCCCTCCAAGGGTGACCTCCCCCTCCTCGCTCCCCAGTTCACCAAGGGGTCACCGGGCAGCCTCCCCACCTGCCTCTGGCACTAACCTCTCCGTGTCCACTGGCTGCTGGCCCCTTTCCAAGGGAGGGGGTTCCTCCTGCACCCCTCCCCCATTGCCCCACCCACCGACCCACCCACCCACGCACAGATAGGTGAGTGCCCAGATGGCCCATGTGCCTGTGCTTCCCCCTGGCCCCAACCCCCACATGGCATGCTGTTGGCAGACAAGACGAGAGATGGAAGGAAGGGTGGCCATGATGGGGGGCAGCAGTGTGGGGGGGGTGACATGCTGGGCACAGCAACAGAGGACCCCTTAGCGCAACCTCTGAACACCGCACCCTCACCAGCAGAGGATGTTGGGCCACGGGGGGCAGAAACGGGGCCCATCCCAGCCGAGGGAATATGGGGGGGGCTGGAGAAGCAGTGCCTGCAAGACCCACCTGGTCTGCCCCACATGGATGGCGGGGTCCCCTGGTCCCTCAAGTGACAAAACCGGGGCCACACAGAGTTACCTGGTAAACAGCTAGGATGAAACGGAGAAAACACAGGGGGTCAGGGGGGCCCGGGGCGGCCGCAGCGCCGCAGAGAAGGTAGGCAGTCGGGGGGGCTGCTGTAGGGCGACTTGCCAGACCCACGGAGACACATCCTCCACCCACAGGCATCAGGTGCGCTTCTCAGGTCTGGCCAGAGCCTCTGGGTCTGGGGAGCCCCCCTCCACCCAACCGCAGGGGCCTTGGTGGCCCATGTTCACCCAGGGGCCTAGTGGCGTTCTGGCCAGGGGGCCGAGGGGAGCTGCCCTGCCCCCTTCCATCTGTGCTGTACCCGGGACCTCCTGCCACCTCCTTTGCTGCTGTCTCCAGGTACCCTGTGCATTTCCTCCACCCACCCAGCTGCCCCACGGCCCTCTCGGGAGGGCAGGGCTGGGCACTAAGAAGGCAAGGAGCTCCAATCCCACTGCTAGGGGCCCCTGTTCCTGACACTACCAACCCCACGGGCAGAGAACAGCAGCCACATCCAGGGGAGCAAGCGGGGGAGGGGGGAGACGAGGACGGGGGGAGGGCAGATGGTGGATGGAGACATGGGAAAGGACAATGACATTGTAATTTCCACCTGAGCGTCGAGCAGCCGCTTCCGCGGTTCGGAGGTGTCGAGGGCGCCCGAGTGATCCCTGCGCAGCTCCTCCTCCTCCACTAGCATCAACCTGCAGGGACAAGCTTCACTGGAGTCAATCCGGGCCCCCCCACCCGGCAGGCAGGCGGCGGGAGCCGGGGCCGCCAGCAGCTGCGGGAACGGGGGCTCCCAAAAGCGGCGGGGCCCCAGAGACCACTGCTGGGGCCCCGCCGGTGAGGAGCACCCCTTCCCACATGCCCCGCCAGCTCCAGGAGCCGCACAGTCCCCCGTTGCCAGTGGCCCCCCCACCCACAGGATGAAGAAACCAGGGGGAACCCTCCCTGACGTTCTGCCCCCCCCTCCCCGTGGCAGCCCCGCCCTGCAGCTCACCTGCCAATGATGCTCTTGATCTGCGAGTCCTTCTCCACTTGCTGCTGCCGGAGGCGCTTCTCACTCTGCTCCAGGCGCTGCTGGTACTGCTGCAGTATCTTTCCAGTCTGCTCCTCCTGGCTCAGCAGGCGCCTCTCGTACTCCTCCAGTTTCCGGTTGGACATGTGCAAGCGCTCCTTCAGCGAGTGGATCTCCTCCTCATACTCCTTCACCTACAACGGGGGGGGGGAGAGGAGCCTCAGGCAGGGCAGCCCTGCGGCACCCAGGCCTACAGTGGGGCCGCTGCCTCTTCCCCAGCCCAAGGGGGGGGCACCCCAGAGGGAGGCTCACGCGGTCCAGCCGACTCTCATCCATGGACTTGGAGTATTCCTTCAGCTTGAACTCCTCCCGCTCGATGTGGGAGCTCTCGATGTCCGCCGAGAGGTGGGGCATGTTGGAGACCCAGGCCACAGTCCGCTCCGAGGCCGGCAGGATGGGATTCAGCGTGGAGGGCGTGTGCGAGGTCTGGCGGGTTGGAGGAGGGATGAGGTCAGTGCACACTCACCCCGAGTCTTCCAAATGGCAATGTGCCAAAAAAAAAAAAACCATCGGCTTTGCGGGGGGGCACACCAGGAAAAGAGAGAGGTGGGCAACAGGAAGCCATGTACCACCAACACCGGGCCACAGATTTCCTGGGCCACCAGTCCTCAGTTTGGGACATCAGACACCCTTTTTTGGTCCCTAGCCCAACACGGACCAGGGAGAAGTGGTGGGGTACCCAGGGCCCCCTTTTCCTTGGTTTTCCAGCTCCCTTCCTCCCCATCAATCCGCTATTTACATTCCCTTCTTCTAATTCTCAGGAACTGCAACCAACTGAAATGTTCAATACCCCAAGAGGATTAGACTATCATCACTATTATCAGTGGCGAGATCGGTTTGAGTTGGGGTCATCACCAGTTGGACCCCAGAGCCCAAGCTCTGCTCAGATTTCCTTGCATGAGGATCTTATTTATTTATTTATTTATTTCATTGGATTTCTATACCGCCCTACTCCCGAAGGACTCGGGGCGGTGAACAGCCACAGAATAAAATACATAAATACAAAAATTTAAAATAGAATAAAAACGAATTAAATAATTTGGCTGAAACAAATTTAAAATACCCCATAATTTAAAAACAAATTAAAATTTACATTTAAAAAGGGGAGAAGATTTAGGCCAGGCCAGCTTGATGAAATAAAAAAGTCTTAAGCGCGCAACGGAAGGTGCGCAGATCCGGGATCCTCCGTATCTCCGGGGGGAGCTCGTTCCAGATCGTAGGTGCCCCCACAGAGAAGGCTCTCCCCCTAGGGGCCGCCAGTTGACATTGTTTGGCCGACGGCACCCGGAGGAGCCCCTCTCTATAGGAGCGTACTGGCCGATGAGAGGCTATTGGTGGTAGCAGGCGGTCCCGTAGATAACCAGGTCCTAAGCCATGGAGCGCTTTAAAGGTGATAACCAAAACCTTCGGAAGACCATTGGGAGCCGATGCAGCTCACGCAGGAGAGGTGTTACATGGGAACTCCATGTCGCTCCCATAACCACCCACGCGGCTGCACTCTGCGCCAGTTGGAGCCTCCGAGTGCACCTCAAGGGGAGCTCCATGTAGAGAGCGTTACAATAGTCCAGACGAAAGGTGACGAGGGCATGAGTGACTGTGCGTAGGGAGTCCCTATCTAGAAAGGGCCGCAACCGGCGGATCAGGCGAACCTGGTGAAAAATCCTCCTGGTCACGGCCGTCAAGTGCTCCTCTAAAGACAGCCGGGACATCACTTCAAGGGCATCATTGGGCTGGTCCGGGGTGGAGATGTATAGCTGGGTGTCGTCAGCGTACTGATGGTACTTCACCCCGAAACCACGGATGATCTCGCCCAGCGGCTTTACATAAATGTTGAACAAAAGGGGCAAGAGGACCGATTCCTGCGGCACCCCACATATGAGGGGCCTCGGGGTCGACCTCTGCCCCCCTGTCAACACAGACTGCGACTGGTCGGAGAGGAAAGGAGAAGAACCACCGTAGTACGGTGCCTCCCACCCCCAACTCTTCCAACCGGTGCAGCATGATACCATGGTCGATGGTATCAAAAGCCGCTGAGAGATCTAACAGGACCAGGACAGAGGAGCAACCCCTGTCCCGAGCCCTCCAGAGATCATCAACCAACGCGACCAATACCGTTTCCGTGCTGTACCCAGGCCTGAAACCCGACTGGAACGGATCCAGATACGACATTTCATCCAGGTACTGGGGAAGCTATCACGCAACCACACTCTCAACAACCTTCACCACAAAGCGAAGGTTGGAGACTGGACGATAATTATCCAATACTGCCAGGTCCAAGGAGGGCTTCTTGAGGAGAGGCCTCACCACCGCCTCCTTCAAGGCGGCGGGGAAGACACTCTCACCCAATGAAGCATTTATAATCCCCTGGAGCCAGCCTCGCATCACTTCCCGGGAAGCCAGCGCTAACCAGGAGGGACACGGGTCCAACAAACATGTGGTCGCGTTCAATCTACCCAGAATCCTGTCCACGTCATCTGGGGTCACAGGATCAAACTCATCCCAGATAACATTCTCAAGACCTGCCTCCGTCACCCTCGCTGGATCTACCCAGTCAGAGTCCAGACCTTCCCGAATCTGAGTGATTTTGTCATGCAGATATTGAACAAAATCCTCGGCTCTTCCCTCCAAGGGGTCCTCCCGCGCTTCCTGGTGGAGCAGGGAGCTGGTCACCCTAAACAGGGCGGCCGGGCGATTATCTGATGATGCAATAAGAGGAGCAAAATGAGTACATTTTGCTGCTTTTATCGCCACTAGATAATTCCTAATATGAGATCTTACCAGTGTCTGGTCCGATTCAGAAAGACTGGCCCTCCAACTACTCTCTAGGCATCTTTTCCGGCGTTTCATCTCCCTCAGCTCCTCGGTGAACCAAGGAGCCAGGTGAGATAGGCGCCGGGTCAGAGGCCACAAAGGCACGACTCGATCTAGAGCTCCAGCAGCCACCCTGTCCCAGGCGGCCACTAGGTCTCCAGTCGAGGCGTGAGCCAGAACCTCGGGGATTGGCCCAAGCTCCATCTGGAACCTATCAGGTTCCATCAGGCGCCTGGGGCGGTACCATCTAGGTACTAAGATCTGTGGGGGAGCTGCTCTTGGTGGGCCCGGGTTGCCAAGGAGGGTCCACATTTCCCCAGATTGCCTAAGGCAGGTGGGGTGGGGGGGCACAGGGGAGGGCCATTCTCCAGCCAAGATCCTCTGCTCAACGAAATCTCAAAGCAAACCACTCTAGATACTTCCCTACAAAGCCGATTGGTATCCCCCCACACACGCCTCATTTTGGAGACAGTAAACTCTCTTGCCCTTTCCAAATTTCAAAATGCCATCTTTTGTGACGCCGGAGAATCTCAGGTTGAGAAAATTGTGCTCTTTTCCTTTCCTCCAGCATCTCTGCAGTGTCAGGGATTTATTTGATTGGTTGATTTCATTTCTGTAGCCACCCATCTCATTCCTGACAAAATCCCAGGCTTTCAAATCCCTGCTTGAAAATCCCCAGGGAGGGGCAGAGGGGTCGCTCTGCTGCTCAGCCTGAACTTAGATGAAAGGGCCCCGGGCCCAATCCTGGAGGGCCTCACGGGGCCTCTCCTCATCAACCCTTCGCTACTGCTGCCACTCTGAGAGAGAAGGGACAGCCATGCTTCTCGGGGGAGGGGGGCTTTTGGGAGGGTCAGGGTTCATGCTGGGCCTCCTGCAGTTCAGTTTGTGTCTCCTCGTTGAGCAAGGACTGCAAGCATCTGCATGAATGTGGACGTCCTCCTTGGCAGCTGGGCAGGGCAGGGGTTACAGCAATAAGCACTTAGACTTACACATAACGCTTCACAGTATTTTTACAGCCCTCTCTAAGCGTTTTACAGAGTCAGCATCTTGCCTGCAACAATCCAAGTCCTCATTTTACCGACCTCGGAAGGATGGAAAGCTGAGTCAACCTTGACCCAGTCAGGATCGAACTGATGGCAGTGGGAATGCAGAGTTTCCCTGCCATCCTGCATTCTAACCACTGCGCCACCAGGGCATATGTTGCCCAAGCAGGGCTCCTATAGAAGTGACGGGCACACTTTCTCTACAAGCTCCCTCCCTCCACCCTGGCCGGGGAGGGAGGGGGCTCTCAGGAGGAGGGGGAGATGATGAATGGCTATTGGAAGAGTTGCTAACACCCCTAACATCCAGCCACAACTGCACCGATTCCTTTTGGGTCCAGCTCTCAGTACTTGAAGCCAAATTGTGGCCAGTTGGGGGATGATCCCTGCAGCTGTCGCCATCGGGGTAAGGGTTGAAGATTCCCCAAGAAGCAACAAGTCCTCCCATGGGCAGGAGCGTAGCCCAAGTCTGTCCACCTCTTCAGGCTTAGGGTCCTTTGCTGACCCCTCACTCGAGGGGAAATGACAGCAAGTCCTGGGCCCCACCACCACCACCACCACCACCACCACCACCCGGGCTCCCCCAGGCTCCCTGCACTGCCCCAGGCCAACCTCCCCCGGGGTTGCCTCCGGTTGCTGCCAGCATTTCACTTGGGAGCGGTTGGGGGCAGCAGGAACCTCCAGGGCGGGTGAAGACCTGGGGCAGCTGGAGCTTCACACTAATTAGGGGTGACTCCGTCCTTGCTTTCTTTTCATGTTCCGGATGCAAACTCGTCCCAAAAAGAGGGCCATGGGCGCATGTCACACACACACACAGTCTCAAGGAGGACTACTGTAACGTCACCATGGCTGCCGGAGAGTGCAAAGGCCTGCCAGCAAGACCCGGAGCCAACCATAGCAAAGGGTGGACATCGCGGAGGCCAGGAACAAAACCGGAGGAAAAGGCATGTCTGGGAGAAGATTCCCTACTCCTGGCAAAGGGGGAGGGAGAGAAGTTCAAGAAACAGCCCCAGGATTACACTAGGCAGACCAAGGTGCCTTGGAGGGTTGCTTTGACCGATTCTGGATTACCCAACTAGCATCGAAGGTGATTGCTGAAGTTCAAGCCGTTCCCGTTTGCTGGTTCTGCTGACAACCAATGTTTCTCTACACCGGAGTATCGGCCCTTCGGGATGGTCCAACTTCTCCCCGACTGGCAGAGCAATCCCACCGGGGCTGCTCAGGTGGAGCCCAGCAGGAAGGACTGACCAGGCCAGTGCTGCCCTGCCTGCGGGTCACCTCCACGCCCAGCCTCGGCTTCTCCAGGTACAAGGCAGCCTGCCAGTCACTCTGCCAATCCAAAGGGCTGGTCTGAAGCCAGGCAGAGGGTGGGCGCCACACCCTCTTCATTCTGGAAGGAGTGGGCTGCAGCTGCGCCTGTCCCTGGACACTGGGTGCGCCTAGCCCTGGCTGTGGTCACAATGGCCCTGGGGGACAAAGAGGTGGTTGCTTCCTGGACCATCCCACGTCCTCTGACCCAGGAACGCCACTCAATTTGGCAGTGCCGACACTCATGGTCGTGGCGATCACCTGCAGCAAAATCTGTCCCATGACTCGACACTGCGGCTTTTTGACAGGATGTGCTCTCCCCCTCCATCCAGACCTAGAGAAAGGCTGCTACTCCCACGTTGCTGTGGGGGGAGGAAGGGGGCAGCGAGAGGCTTTGCGGGATCCAATCTGAGTCAATCACGGGGGACAAATGTTTATTCTTCCAAGCTTTCAGGCTCTCTCCAGAATATGTGCACGGGGCTGTTCTACGTGTTGTGTTTATATGGTGCCTGGTCGCATGTAGCTTTTAGTTGTCAGTGAGGGTGCTGATGCCTGACCAGGGTCACTGATTGTTGTTTCCTTGTGCCGCTGCGCCCTCAGTTCCTGTATCTGATAAGCTAAATCTAACAGTTTTATGCTTCGGCAAGAAAAACCGACTGTGTAGCTGCAGATTAGGTGAAACCTGGCTCAAGAGCAGCAACTGTGAGAGGGATCTTGGCATCCTAGTGGGCAATCACTTAAATATGAGCCAGGAATGTGCGGAGGCGGCCAAAAATGCCAATGCAATCCTAGGCTGCATTAATAGAGCGATAGAATCAAGGTCACATGAAGTGCTAATACCACTTTATAATGCCTTGGTAAGACCACACTATAAAAAAGATGTTGACACTCTGGAAAGAGTACAGAGAATTAGAGGCCTGGAGGCTAAAACACATGAAGAACGGTTGCAGGAATTGGGTATGTCTAGTCTAACAAAGAGGAGGACTAGATCAGAAAGATCAGCAGTTCGGCTGCATGAGCAGGGGATTAGACTAGATGACCTCCAAGGTCCCTTCCAACACTGTTACTGAGTTGGGTCCCAGCCAGTAGCCTCGCTTTCCTGCACAAGGAGGTGGGCTGTGGGGAAGCATTGCTTCCCTGGAAGGCCTCTGGGAGGAAGTCCTGCCCTCCCTGGGAACTAAGGAGTCTCCTGGCTCCTTGAAGGCGCTATGCCCCTTGATGGGTGCAGAGTCCTTTGGGCAAATGAGGTAGCGTCTCCCTTCTCCAAAAGGGACCCCTCCTCTCCTCCCTTACACTGCAAAGCAGATGTAAGAGAAAAAGAGCTGGGCTGCCTTGAATTTATTTCTTTAAACCTTCCGTGTTTCAGTAACTTCCCTCCATAAAGTCATCAGGAAAAGAAGCAAAAGGTGCCGAATTATAGGTTTCTCAGCTGATCACAAAATGCGTTTTGAAAACTTCCCTAAATCTCAGTGCTCAGAAACATGTGCCCGGCATTAACTGTTCTCTTCCTGCCTGCGGGCCCCTCAGCCAGGAGCCAATCAAAGGAACTATAAGCCCAGTGTGATACTTGAGCTCCAGCCGCTGCCGGCAGCTGCCTGGGTCACTCACCTGCTTGGTGATGGATGGCTTGAGGGCGGAAGGCGCCTCCTTGGTGACCGACTGCTGGCGGGCGTGGGTGGGGGCGTAGGTGGGCTCCGGCTGCAGCAGGTTCCCGCTGGAGGGCCGAGGCTTCTGAGCCGCAGAGACCGTCAGCTGCTGGGACTTGCCCCGCTGCAGGGGGGGCTGCGGCTGAGGGGCGGGGGCCGAGCGCTGGGGCTGGGGGCCGATGGTGATCTGGGGCGGGGAGAGCATGTTCTGGAGGTTCTCCTGCAGGGACAGCTGGCGCTTGGTGAACTCCGAGCCCTGGCGCGTGAATTCGTCGCTGTAGCTGTGGCTGTGGATGATGTGCTTGCTGGCCGAGAGGTCCTCGCTCTTGCTGTAACCATGGAAGGGGGCGAAGGTATCAGCGGGGTTGCCCTCCGCTGGCCGGTGCGGATGGGAGACATGGAGCGGGCCGCCAGCCGGCCCGTCAGAGGCCATGTGGAAGAGGGGGTTCTGGAAGGAGAGGGGGATGCGAAGCTGCTGTGCAGAGGAGGGGCCGCCTCCATCGGTGGTGACGCCCATCTGGCTCAGCCGCAGGCCGGCCGCGATGCTGGAGCCGCTGCCCTGGGAGAGCCGGCTGGGCCGCAGACCCATGCCGGCGGTGATGGAGGCCTGGCTGCTGTTGAGCAGGTCGCCTACGCTGTGCAGGTTGGAGACGCTGTTCATGCGGCTGTCCTGCAGGTCCAGCATGGAGACGCTCTTGTTGACGCTCAGCACCTTCTGGTCTGGCTCGGTGATGTCCGAGCTGCTGGTGCAGTAGGCGGGGGAGGAGCGGGCCAGGGGCGGCCGCGGCACAAAGAACATGTCTTTTGACCCCTTTTCCTTGGTCGGGGAGGGCAAGCGTGTCATGTCGATGGAGCTGCGGAGGAAGGCAGCGTGGAGAACTGATAAGGGCAGGAGGGAGCGGAGTCTGCCAAGAGGTGGAGTGGCAGGGCAACCCCAAGGGGCTCCCCACTTCCTCTGCCAACATGTGCAGGAGACCAGTCAAGGAACAAGGGGCAATGGAGCCAGGCCGCTTGGGAGCACAGAGGGACTGTACCCTGTACCCAGAGGGAAGGAAACTTCTATGGAGCACCCCAGTCTTCCGTAGACCACACCCCACAGCCCTTACCTGTTCATGGCTCGCATCATGTAGGGCTGCATGTCAACTGAGCTGTGGGGAGAAATCCAGAGTAAGCCCATGCCATGGGGCATGTTCACACCCCAAAATCTCCTGTAGGTGCCTTAGGGAAGTCGTCCACTGGTCCCTCTGCCGGCTCTTGGCCTTACTCATGAGGAAACCCAGCAGAGGCCCAGACCAGAGTCCATCTAGGGTGGAACTCACAGCTAGATGTCCACATGCTTCCTGTCCTCCAATGCCCCCCACCCCATCCCAGGCCTGACCTGTTGAGGTCGCGCATCATGTACGAAGACTGCATGTCAGTCGAGGGCCCGCGGAGGATGACCGGCTTGGCCTGGAGCCGCTCGCCCTGGTGGCTGGGCTGCCGCTGGATGTGGGGGTTCCTGAGAGCTAGGCTGATTTCGTTCAGCAGACGGGGCAGCGGGCCCAGCTTGATCAGGGCTTCCTATGTGGGGAGGAAACAGCAGACGGGCGCTCAACACCACTGCCAGCAAGCAGACGGGTGCAGCCCCTCCTCCTCTGCCCTACATCCTCCCTGGCCCCACCACCTCCCGGCGGGCACCTTGCTGAGCTGGGGCAGGACCTCCCAGAGCAGAGCGTGCAGCGTGGAGAGCTCCCGGCCGAGGTCGATGTAGCCCTCGAAGCTGGTGCTGTTGGTGAGGGTGTCCAAGTTGGAGATCTCATACAGGAACTGCTGCATGCTGGCCCACTCCAGCTCCAGAAACTCGTTCATAAACGCCATGTACTCCTCCTTGCTGCCAAACCTGCCGCAAGAATCACGTTTTTCGTCACTTGCAGCGTTACTCGAGTTGGGGCCCCTCCATTTGCCAACCCGGCCCTCCCCCGAGTGCCCAACACACCCTGAAACACAAAGCACAGCAACAGCCATGTACCCACCCATCGCTTTGTGCAATGCCAGCCTGTCACCCTCTCCAGCCCCTTGGGGGTGGGGGGGAACCAGGATTTGCCACCAAGGTAGCAGTCAGCAAGCAGCACACCAAGAAAGAAGGGCCAGGGGTATTTTGAAAGAAATTCATGGCCCCATGCATATTTGGGGTGCTTGATGGACTGAACCTCTCCCATTCCATCCCCTCCACCTTGTGGAATGCAGCCTGAACGATAAGGGTCCCCTGAGGCCATCCATTCCATTTCTGCTCCCATCTATCTGGGGCTTCACTTCCTCTGCCCGACTCCGTTTGCCCACACCTTCAGCTGGAGTCCACCTCCCTGTAACCTTGATTCATGGCCATCCCCAGGACAGAGAGTGGACCGGCCTTGAGCATTGCCTACATCACCCTTCCGGGCATTTCAAGAGGGGAGCTGGGTCCCCCTCTCAGTCCCTCCTCTGCCTCCATCAGTTCCCTTCCTTGCACTTGACTTTCAGAGGGACCTGGTTGCCTTCTGGGTCTTGAGAGACCCCTCCCCACAGGGCCGGGGCCACAAAAATCAGGCTCTTGGCTGGAGCCAGAGACGGAGGGAGCCTGGCCACACTGCAAGGGGCTCTCCCCCAGAGTGCTGCCCCTGAGCTCTGCATGGGGCGGATGCTGGGAAAACTCCCACCACCTCAGATGTATCTGGCCCAGCTGGCTTGTGCCCCCCTGGCACTCTCTGCGTCCTGACCTCCTCCACACTCACTTGCTGAAGTTGGCCAGGTTCTGGATGACCTTGGCAATGAGCGTGAGGGTGCGGGACGTCTGTTCGTCCGGGTACTCCTGCAGGAGGCCGAAGAGGCTGGGGGACATGACGGCCGGACATAGGAAGCGCAGGAAGAGGGAGGCGCTGATGAGGCGGTCGGCGATGTCTTCCCGGCCCCTCTCGGCACAGCGCAGCCGCCATGAGGCAAAGACCTCCTTCAGCTCCCGGGGAAACACGCTGGGGAGGTGGAGAACAGGATCACTGCCCGCCCCCACTGCAGGGCTGCCCCACACCCCCAGGTTGCACATCCAAAAATGACCACCCTTCATGTCCCTCCCCACACCCAGATATGCAGGGAAAGGGGGAGGTGGGGATAAGGAACCAGCCCTGCACTGACCAATGGGAGTTGACCACTTTGCAGAGGGCCAGTTCGCAGCACATGCGGAGGTTGGCCTGGTGGTCTGCCAAGGTGGAGGCCGAGCACTTCATGGGGTCCACCTCGCAGTTCTCCTCAGACTCGTACAAAGCTCGGATGAACTCACCTGGGGGGGGAAGGCAGAGCAAACAGAGGATGGGACCAGCAGCTCCCCCTCAAGCACCCACTGGCTCAGCCCCACACAAAGCAGCCAGTGAAGTAGGGAGGAGCCGCCCCTCCGTGTTCAGGGGAGTTGCAAGCAGGCAGGGTGAAGAGCTCGTTGGCTCTCCTCCAGATGCTAGGTCCTGCTCTAGAACAGGAGTGGAGCCAGGAAAAAGAACAAAATCTAACCCAAATTTCTGTGATTTCATCTCCCTCTCCACCCAGGGTTGTGAAAAGTTGGGTCCTTTCCCCCCCACTCCAAGTGCCCTCCCTCCTCCGGTGCCCCTACCAATTGCATCCTTGAGGTATTTTTGTCCAATCAGTTTGAGATACTCCTCTATGGCTTTGGTGGCCAGCGTGTTCTCCCGGAAAATGAGGTGTTCGCGGTCCATGAAGCGGTCCACTTCCGTCATGGCCATGTCGGACAGAAAGTCCTGCCGGGAAGGGGCAGGAGAGAAGCTGCAGGAGCTGTGCTGCCCCTGGGGTTCCCGGACCCCTTCCCTACGGGGCCCTGCTCGCCTCCCCCACCCCACTCCCAGAGCATACCTTGGCCTTGCCAGTGCTCTGGAGGATGTGCACCAGGGCGCAGGCCACCTCCTCCTTGCTCTTGACACTCAGGACCGGTTCCAGCACGGCGCACAGCATGCGGTAGTTGTTGGTGACATACTCGGCAAACTCCTTGTAGAGTTCCATGGGCAGGATGCTCATGGCCTGGAAGCGGCTCTTGACCCGGACGGCCGGGCAGCCGGCCTTGCTCTTGCTGGCACTGGGCTGGCTGAGTGGGTACCACTGCTCGGCGAAATGGCGCCCGGTGACGCTTGCGATGGGGATGCTGACCATGCCCATGTAGTTGCTCTTGTCCTTCTTGCGCTTCTTGTCTGTGTCCTTATAGAGGTGCAGCCGGATGGTGCGCACGGCCGGCAGGTTGTTGAACTCGAAGTGCTCCCCCCAGAAGACGTTGTCCGTGCGAATCTTGCTGGTGGTGCGCGCGTAGAGCATGTCGTCCAGGCACAGCTCGCAGTAGTAGCGTTTTTTGGGGGGCAGGTCCCGCGCCTCAATGATCCAGAGCTTCAGCACATTGTCCACCCGCCGGCTGTTATCCTGCACAAAGAGGAGGAGGAGGCCAAGCCTGGAGGAGGTGCTCAGCTGGTGCTCTGAAACAGGGGTCTCCAACCTTGGCCACTTGTGGACTTCAAGTCCCTAAACTCCCCAGCCAGCACAACACATACATTGAGCAGCATAGCTGGCTGGGGAATTTTGGGAGTTGACGTCCACAAGTCTTCAAGTGGCCACGGTTGGAGACCCCTACTCCAGCAGGGTAACACAGGCAGGCAGGAGGGCTCTCCTTCCCTCTGGAGCCCCTCCCTCTCTTCCCATGCCCACAGGATGTTTGATATACACAAGATGTCCAGACAACTCCAGTCCAGCATTGCCCCCCCCCCCAGCTCTCTCAGCTCCCCCAAGCCAAGACCCCCTCCCAGTCTGGCCTCACCCTGCTGTGCACACTTAGCCACCCCCTTCCCCCCCCCAAGTGCAGGACTGGGGCCCTCTGCCCAAAGAGATGAGCTCTCTATGGTGCACCAGGAAGCATCTCCCCAGCAAGCACATCATTCCCCCCAGCTTTTTAACTGACAGGATATCCATTGTAGCTCTATTAATTTTTATTCCTCTGCTTTGAGTTTGTAACTGATTTATTGCTATATGGGAGGGACCCCATATCCTCTCTCTCATAAGCAGCAGGGAGAATATCCACCATGAGGTGGGCTAAAAATAGTACAAAGGAGGAACACGGCAGGAGGATGGGGAGAAAAGGCTCCAGGAACAGCTGCAGCCCAAGAGCCGGAAAAATCTCCAGACAGGGAGCCCATAAGAGACTATCTAGCTCACTCTCTTGCCCACTACTATCAGAGTCCATTTTCTACTGAATCGCCTCCGGCAAAGCCGTCTGTGTGCTGTTGAGGGCCAACTCCCTGCTCCTGGTGTTGAGGAGGGGGAAACCTCTTCTAAATTAAATGCAGTGCTGCCCATCTGTTTCTGGGGAACTCCCCCCCCCGCCTTGTCTTCTACTGGCAGCTCTTCAGCTACTCAAAGATGGCTGTTGTGTCATCCGTCTTCTCTTCCTCAGGGAAGATGCTTCCAAATGCTTCCAGCCGGGTATGCTAAAGTTTTCCCGGCATGTTGCTGGCTGTTCTCGAGACACCATCCAGTTTGCCAGTGTACCACACCCAGTGGTGGTATTCAGCCGGTTCTATCCGGTTTGGGCAAACCGGTAGCGGCAGCAGGTGGAGGCTCTGCCCACCTGCCCGAACATAATCACATCCCGTTTTTGACGCTCTGCACATGCATGGAGGTGGTGCGTGTGAGCGAAGCGACCACGTGTGTGCGCTCACATTTGCGAACCGGTAGCGAAGGTAAGTGAATACCACCCCAGAACAGTGTCCGGAACTGGACCTCACATTCCGGGTGTGGCCTAACCCACATGAAGGGAGAGGAGCAATTACATCTTTTAGTATTGGCGTTTTGATTCCTGTCGTCTGCGGAGCTTCTCAACCACGAAGGTCACGGCTGTCCCAAAGGTGCTTTTCCAAGAGGCAGCTGAACTTTCTTCACTTCCTCCTTTGACTTCTGCTGACGCAGAAACCAAGGATGGCATTGGTTTTTGTTTACCACAGCATCACGCTCTTGGCTCATGCTCCACTTGTGATCTTCCCACGTTCTTTCTGCAGATACCCCTGCCTGGCATACCAGCCTATCTTGCAGTCGTGTCCTTGATTTTTCATTTGTCCCTGTTGAAATTCCTCTAGCCCCTCGTTCCAGCTTGTCAAAATCCTCCTGAATCCTGATATTCCTCTGCAGATGTGTTAATTCTGCCCAGGTCAATGCCGTCTACAACTTCAGAAGCCACACATTTTCTAACAATCCATCCTGACTTATAAGATCACTGACCAGCACAGAGCCCAGAAGAGGGCTGGGAATGCAGCACTCAACATTTCTCTGCTCCCCCAAGCTTGGCCAGAAACCCCAGTGGTTCTTCCTTGGGTGCAAGGGTTCAAACAGCTCCAAGTCCACCTAATGGTAACATCCAGCTCACGTTTTCTCATTTTCTCTACGAGGATTTCATGGAAGCTTCAAACATTTTGCTGAAGTCTAAGGGGTCCTTCATCCACACTCTCCCTTGTGGACTGGCCAAAAGAGACTTAAAGGTAAAGGTTCCCCCCTCACGCATATGTGCCAGTTGTTCCTGACTCTAGGGGGCGGTGCTCATCTCCGTTTCAAAGCCGAAGAGCCAGTGCTGTCCGACGACGTCTCCGTGGTCATGTGGCCGGCATGACTAAACGCCAAAGGCACACAGAACAGTGTTACCTTCCCACCAAAGGTGATTCCTATTTTTCTACTTGCATTTTTTACGTGCTTTTGAACTGCTAGGTTGGCAGAAGCTGGGACAAGTCACGGGAGACTTACTCGTGATCAAAGCAGCTGACTCCCCGTGAGCCGTGCTTTCCTCTCAGAATATTATGATGTGCTATCAAGTCTCTTGGCACCACATACAGGGAGATCCATCCCCAACTTGGCCAATCAGTCAATCAGAATAGAGCCCTCACATGAAGGTGGAGACTGAATGGACACAATTGAAGCGCACCATGTGGCAATAGGACGGAAATGGTTTCCTTCATTATTATTTTTTTTTTTTAGCTTCCAAGTCAAGTTCGTATATCCCAACCAGGAAAGAGTTCAATGTATCCCCCAAATTACCACCTTTCTGTCCTGAGGAATATCTGGGGATCATTCTGGCCTCCTCAACCCTCTTCTTTTCTTTAACTCCCCTCTTGGCCTTAGGAATCTTCATTAAACACCCAGAATCCCCCGTCCTCAAGCCCAACAGCAGGGCTCCTCATCTCCCTTTGGCTTTCCTTCCCGTCCTCTTTCCTCTTCGTTGGCCAGTCAAAAAAAACCCCACCTGCCTCCTCCATCAAACAGTTTTTAGCAACATCTTCTCAACCGTTGCTTCCTCTGTCTTAGCCAAGACACTCCTTCTGGCCACGAAGATCAGGAAATGCAGGTGGCTGGGAAATAACAGAATAACAAAGTTGGAAGGGACCCCCCTCTCTTGGAGGGACCTTGGAGGTCTTCTAGTCCAACCCCCTGCTCAGGCAGGAAACCATATACCATTTCAGACAATTGGCTGTCCAATCTCTTCTTAAAAAACTTCCTAGTGTTGAAGAAGCATCCACAACTTCTGGAGGCAAGTCATTCCACTGGTTAATAGTCCTCGCTGTCAGGAAATTTCTCCTTAGTTCTAGATTTCTTCTCTCCTTGGTTAGTTTCCATCCATTGCTTCTTCTCCTGCCTTCTGGTGCTTTGGAGAATAAGTTGACCCCCCTCTTCTTCCTGGCAGCCCCTCAAACAGTTCTTCAGATATCCCGATGGTGCCACCATTATCAGCAAAACAGAGTCCGTTCCCCTCACACACACACACACACACACACCCCACACACCGTATTTATGAGCTCATAAATTGGCTGCTGAATAATCTGTTTCAAAGCCTCGCTCAGAATAAACACCAAATGGATCACCGTTCAACCGGCACAGGCTTTCTTCTAGAGGTTCAGTTCCCACCAGCTGGGGGTTCACAAGAGAAGGTGTCTCCCCCCTCCCCCCCCCCGTGAGATGGTCTAGGACGGCTTCTGGTCCGTAGGGCCACCACCATTGGCACATTAATGGAGCAGCGTTTCTCCTGGTACCCTGGTCACCTGCAGGGAAGATTTCACACAGGCTGGCAGTGCCCTTACCCAGGACAGGCCCAACACCTGATGCCTCCTGTCTCTGATTGGGCAGAATATCTGAGCTTTGTGAGCACAGTCACTGCTGGCTGGTATGGCTACTGTTAGTCACCACAGGAGATGAGGCAACATGTATTCCCAACAAGCCAAGATCTGGGGAAATAAAACACCCGTCAGTCCAACTTCTACAATTAGGAGGATAACAAACCAAACGGTTTGGCAGCATCGGTAATTTTCTCGTGCTAGCTGAGTGGACGGAGGGATCACCGAGGAAGACATTTATCCTGATTCCAGCAAAGTGAATTTACAGAACTAGTGGCAGACTTTTCACTGAGGAAGTGTTCTTGGGAAGCTGTTAGAGGTCTCAGATGGCAATCGCTGAACCAAGCACAGAAGACGAGGCAGAACAGCAAGGCACCTAAGGTGGACGTTGCCAGGTATGATCTGCAGGGGAAATCTCTTACCGGTTTCAGCCACAGCCTGAGAAATGAAAGAGGGCAGGTGGGTGCAGATCCATATCTCTTGGCCAGCTGCAATGCGGATATTGTAGTTGTCTGCACCCTTGTCAGGGTGCACACGGCCCCTCTGGGCTTCTCAAGAAGGGCAAAATGCCCCTCCCCCTCCCCCATGCCCACTAATGCCCCCACTCAAGACTCCTGCATCTGATGCGTGCAGCACCCCCATCTTTCCCAGGGCTGCTGGGGGAACAGTAGCCGGGCCTGCCCCGCGCTTCGCCAGAGTCAATCTCCCAGGCTGCCCAGCCCAGCAATTATCACGGGACAGAGAGGAGAGCCTCACCCCCCAACTAGTTCAGCTGGGGCACAGCCCTTCTGCCAATCGGTGCCAGTCACCAATTTCACTGGTTTAAGAAGAGCCACTTGTGGCTTTTCGTGGTGAGGGTCTTTGAGCGTCTCGCAACCGCTGGATCCTTTTCATTTTCTCTCAAGAAGCTGATCTGGAGTTTTTCTGAAGATTCAGTCTTGGCCCTTCGGAAATGACCTGCAGGCAGGGGCAAGCGGACTCGGCAAAGGCTACCCCTAAACTCTGGACAGGCCAGAAGGGGCTGCTGGACCTGGGCACCAATCCAGTTGCTCCCAGCTTTTCCATCGTATCTTTGCATCAGAACGCCAGAGGTTTCGTTCCCAGACTTCGCCATGGGGAATAACTCATCCCGGATGATCACCATCCCAGTGGCCATGAGGATGAGGAAGGTACAGCTGGCGACTCAAACAGAGATCTCCTACCCCCCACTGCCCCCCCACCAGCCCCAGAGAGACAAGGAGAGCCAGCAGCCTCCCTCAGAGCAAGTGGGGGGGGGAGATGGCGAGTCTCTGGGTCCCATCTGGAAAAGCCCCCTGGAAAGCATGGCAGAGTGGGAGGGGGGCAATGAGACAGACCCTCCCCTTTAGCCCCTCCCTCAGGAAATCTGCAAGGGAACTGTGGTAACAGGGAAGTTTCCCCCATAGCTCTGCTGGGCGGAAAGCTTTTCTCCCCGGCTGTGCCCCCCCCCCAGAAAAACACAGGGCCCTCTTCCATTATGGCCGACCTCTGGACATCCTTCCTGCAGGCAGGGAAAAGCGGGTCAAACCAGGAAGAGGGGGGCGAGGAGGAGGAGGAGGCTCAGCACCATGGGGCTTGCAAGACTGACACCAGCCCTCCCAAGCAGACCAGGCCAAGGGCAGGGATTGGGGCTGGAACCCTTCAGGCCAGGAGCTCCAAAGCCTGACTAGGTGGCTCAGTGGCTAAGACACTGAGCTTGTCGATCAGAAAGGTCAGCAGTTCGAATCCCTAGTACAGGTGTCCTGCGTGAGCAGGTGGTTGGACTAGATGATCTCCAAGGTCCCTTCCAACTCAATGTTATTATTATTATTATTAAAGCGGCCAGGGAATCCCTTCCCACCAGTGGTGGGATTCAGCCGGTTCTCTCCGGATCACACAAACCGGTAGCAGCCACTGCGGGAGACTCCGCCCACCCGCCCGGAGGCAATGGGCAACTACTGAGCATGTGCAGAAGGCCGTGTGTGTGTGTGTGCACAGAGGTGGCGAGTGCGTGCGCTCACATTTGTGAACCGGTAGGGAAGGTAAGTGAAACCCCACCTCTGCTCCCCACAGCCTGGATCCCAGCCCCCCACACAAAGCCAGCCCACTTAGGGATAGGGGGGGGGCGAGAACATCTCCTGGCTTTGGAAGTTCTACGTAGCTGATGATTGAGGACAAGGAAATGGCAACGACCCACGCCTCCCCACGCCAGCATGGCCGTCAGCAGCAGACATCCCAGGAAGGGAGGAGGGGACCCCTTTCAGTCAGTTTGGGGATTTTCAGGAGGAGCCCATAGGGGTCTCAGCCCCTGTAACACACATTCATGCCAAACACTCCTGGACTGGCCCAACTTGACAGAGGGGCCGGCTTCTACCCTCAACTTGAGATAAAAACTGAGACCCACACACACACACACACACACACACCAAGCCTCCTAGGGGAGCTGGCCCCTCCCACTTCAGGGTCCCCAAAAGTGGCCCCGGGATGCCCAGAGAAGCGAAGGCAAAGGGGGCTCTTCCGGAAAGCCACTTGGCAGGGGGGCGGAGGAAAGCACCCCGGGGGGGCCAGGTGGGGACACCTGAAACCTCAAGGGGGCCAGCGGTGGGAACGGTCGGGGGGCCCCGGGGGAGCTCTTACCTTGTTGGGCTTGACGGCTCTTTGCAGGTTCTCGATCCACTTGTCTCTCTCGGCAGCTGAGCGGCAGGCAAAGCACTTGGTGCCCGAAGACGTGGTCACCTGGGCAGAAAGTGGGGCGGGAGTGAGCTGCGCTCTGCACATGCCCAGGAGCCCCCACCCCACCCTGCTGAGAGGCCCCAGACGCCAGCCCCCACCTCAAAACAGAACTCCTGGCCCAGGATGCTGCTGTGCACCGGTTTGATGAGGGAATCCTCGTCCAGGTTCAGCTCCAGGGCTTCGGCTGCGCTGCTGGGGCTGAGCAGGGACTCGTGCGAATGCGACTCCTTAAAACTCTGCATCAGACGGGCCCTGCGCGGGGGGGGAGCACACTCAGTCAGCAGGAAGATTGTGGCTGGGGGGGGCAGGACCCAGGGAGAGGGCCACGGGAAACTGGGCTTCAGCTGACCCCTCGCTCGGAGGTACCTGGCATCTGCACCCCAAAGGGGCATCTCTGCAGCTCAGGAAATCCGGGAGTCGACCTCAGCGGGGGAGGGGGGTAGAGGGAGAGGGAGGCTGGCGGGAGGGCGGGCACAGGAGAGTCTTGGGGAGCCCCTCTGGACCCTGGGAGGGAGGCTCTGGGGCTCCCAAGGGGCCACAGGGGGACAGGGTCTGGATCTGCCCTCCCCACAGCCAGCCGAGCTCCAGAGCCCCTTCCCAGAGGAAGCCGGCAGAGTCCGTGTGCGGCTTTTCCCACCCCCCTCCCTTCCCCGTGGCATTTCTGCTCGGAGCTGCCGCCCCCAGCAGGATATATTTAGCCAGCAGCGTAAGTGGAGGCAGCCCCTGCGTGTCGGGGCTGCCGTCAGCCGGAGGGGGGAAAGGAAGGCAGGCGCTAAAAATACCCAGGGCACCCAGGCCTTGGGGGGCAGGCAGGCTGGGCCGAGGGGGCCCCCCAGGGGAGCCAGAAGGGCCACAGGGTACCCTGGGCTGCGAGGGAACGTCCGGTCGGCCCTGGGGGCTCCCTCCCATCCAACCCCAGGAACAGAGGAGCGGGACCGGCTCGGCCCACCTGTCGTGGTCAGCGCTCCGGAAGCGCGGCAGCATCTGGCGGAAACTGCTGGTGCGGTCCAGCTTGGGCTGGCTCTTGGTGCGCTTGATGGAGCTCTTCAGGCGGCGGCTGAGGAAACCCTGTTGCTGCAGGTGGAGGGAGGAGAGGCCGGTCAGGCTGCCCCGGCTCACCATCCGGGTGCCCTGGGGTCCCATGTGGGCCCCATGAGGACTCTTGCCCAGGGGCCTCTGGTGCCCAGAGGGGAGCAGCCACCAGCCCTCTCCCTTCTGCTCAGCCGCGGCAGGAACAGCCCGTTTCCACCTCGGCCTCTTCTCCAGCAGCCCCCCCAGGAAAGACCTTGGCTGGGTAAGGCCTGGCACCCGGAGATCCCCACAGGTTCCCTGGCTGGGGAGCCAAGAGGCCAAGTGGCACCCTCAGCCGGTGCCCACCTGCCAAAAAAGCCTTTCAGGGCCCATCTGCACCGCCCTCCGTACATCCCGGCTTAGATCAAGGAAGCTGGTCTGAAGCCAGCCCATCTTCCCCAGAACCCGCCTTTCTTTCCCGGTGGCCTCCTTTCCCTGCTCTTCACAGCTTTGCTCGGCCGCCTCACGGACAGAAGTGGAAACCTTCCTGACTTTTGCCCAGCAGCCATTCTTGCATCCCTGGATCCAAGATCCCCCCCCCCACCTCCATGCCTAACCGCTTTTTCTAGGGGGAGGCAGGAGGGCCGCCCCAGCAGGGAAGGCAGAGGGGGAGGCAGGCCCAGGCTCAGAGCCCCAACAGTCACAACTAAGGGCTGACAGACTGAACCCCACAAAACCCCGTTTCCCTGGGGGGCACTGGCACTCAAGATGGCATCTCCCTGTCCAGAGGTCTCTGCTTCTCTTTCATAGAGGTGCCCGCTCACCTGTGGGGCATCTGGCAGGCAGCTCCTCCTTTTTCCCCATCCCCCTCCCTCAGCCCCACTGGTGGCCAGTCCCTTTCTTCAAAGCCAGGACTGGCTCCAGCCAGCCCTTCCTCTGCTGAAGAAAAAGGACAGGGGCTCAGGGAGAGGGCAGGCAAGCCCTGCGGAGGGGGGGGGTGTCACTCACCGAGGAACGGAATGGGGGGGCTGGTGGGGCGTCCATGTTGATGCTGTACTGCTTGCCCCCCGGGACGCTCTTCCTGCGGGAGCGGCTGGCGTGGTACTCTGCAGGGGGAGAGAGAGGCAGCATTCAAGGGACACCCCCACACTGAAGGACTTTGGGTGTGGGGGGGCAGCAAAGGCCCAGGAGTGCAGGTGGAAGGGAGGCGACTGCTGACCAATGATGACCAATGGGCTGCAGGACACCCCCCCTGCCCTCCCCATCTCCTCCCGCCTGCCCCCCCCACTCCGCCCCCCCAGGACAAGAGGCTCCCTGTGTCTTCCCCCCTCCTGCCCAGAGGAGCCAGTCAGCCGGACTCGCAGCTGCCCCAAGGCAGGAAGCAGAGCCCTGCACATGGCCACCCCTCTGGGCCCCAGCTGGGACCCCCTTTCCTTTCCCCCCCCCTGCACCCCCAAGGCCAGCAAAGGGCCCCAGCCAACCATCAACCTGGCCTTATTAAGAAGACCCAAAGTAAGGAAAGCCCCAGTGCGCTTAAGGGGGGATCCTACTTTGGGGGATCCCTGAATTGGCAACCAGGAATCGCAGGCTCCTTCAGCCAAGAATCAGGGCTGGCAAATCCCTACCCACACGCCCTCGTGAGGTAGGCTCTGGAGAAGGACCCCAAAGGATGGGCAGGTGGACTCAGAGGGAGCCCCCCAAGAACCCCACCCTGCCCCCTCTGCCCTGAGGACGAAGGCCCCCGTGGAGCTCTTCACCCTTCACCCTTTATTTGAATTTATTTTTGCATGTGGTGGAGCAATTCCCTCTGGCTGCATATCGGGGAACCCCCAAAGGTTTTCCGGGTGCAGCCCCATCACATACTGACCACATCAAAAAGTCCACCCTGGAATTTGTAAACAGAGGGATTTCCCACTTGCTCCCTGAGAATGTGACTGTAGGTGCTTTTTAACACTTTTGCCGTACACTGAGCCAAGAAACACATTTATTTTTTTTTTCAATTCAAAGGCCTCCCAACCCCCAACAGCAGCTCCCAAGCAGCCTCCCTCCCCCGACAGACAGGCGCCTCCTCCCTGGAAACCCAAACCAGCCCAGGAGCTGCTGAAGGGGTGTCCGAAGGCGCCCGAGTGGACGTGGGTGTCCACAGGCCCCACTGTGGCAGCTTCCCAGGAGGCCCAGATGCAGCGTCAGCATGCTCTGTGGGGTGTGGGGGATGCCGTGGGACGCACAGGCCCCTCTGGGAGGCAATGAAGGGCAGCCTACGAAAAGTCTGCAAATAACCCCCCCCCAGTTGAGAGGGCACCAAGGACCCCCAACTCCATTGGAGGTTGTCTCCCCCCCAAGGCTACGCAACCAGGGATGGGGGAGCAAGGAGGGCCGGGTGGGTGGGTGGGTGGGTGGGACATATTCACCTCCCATCCTCTGGCCTTCAACCTTCCAGACCCCCTTGCAGCCCCCTGCCAGGAAGTAAAGCCCCTTCTGGGGTGCAAGAACAGCGCCCCCCTCCAGACCCTGCTGGGTTTCAGGAAGGCAGAGGGGGCAGGAAACCCGTGGGCCAGAGCTGCCTCCCAATGGGGCTGGCTGGATGCCAGGCCTGGGTCTCCTCCGCCTGCTGTCATGCAGGGGGCACAGACCTCCTTGCCTGGACCTTTGTCCCCCCCCCCCCCCAACACGAGTAGCAGGGGCCCCCCTGTGGCCCTTGAGCAGCACCAGCTGCCAGGAGTTGCAGAGAGCCCCTCCCCCCATGCGTTCTGGCACAACGCAGAGCCACCCACCGGGCTCTGCCACCATCTGTCTTGCCCGCCTGCCTGCCACTCCGCCATGCCAGCCCTGCGAGCCGCTGCCTCCACCCCAGGCCTTCCTGTTCCCCCAAGGCCTGAGCAGCTCCTCCCTCCCATGTGTGACAGCCGGGGAAGGAGAGGGAGAGCCCTTCTCTCCTGCCCCCTCTTGCCCACAGGAAGGAGAGGAGGCCCCAGGGAGAAAGCCTGTCAGCTGGGAAGAGCCACCCAGGGAAGGAAGAAGCCAGGCTGGATCAGGCCCCTGCCCCACCTGGCCCAGCAGTTTCTCCTCCTGGTGGCCCAACCGCCCCGACTGCAGAACGGCGGCAATGGGGGGGGGGAGCTCTGGGTAGTCCCCCATCCACGTGCAGGGGACCCCCGCCCTTTCAGCAAAGGCAACAGCTGCACAGAGACGACCCCCCTCCTGGCAAGCCCGCCGCCACGTGACTGCTTGGCCCGACCCGGGCGCTAAAACCACCCACGTGCCAGCACAGCGGCGGCCGCAGCTGCGAGGCAGCCGGAGCCCTCAATGCGTGGACGCGGGCGGGACGCGGTTGCGCCTCTTACACATCGGCGGCGCTCGCGCAGACCCTGCCCGGGCCGGAGCTCCGAAGCCCATCGCGCCCAGCAGGGAAGGGCGCAGCGCCGGGGATGGGAGCAGCCGGCAGGCAGAGACCCCTCCGAGGCCCGTCGGGTGCCCGCGAGCGAAGCCGCTCCGCTTCTCGGCCGGAGGGAGATCGCTGGCCGCGGGGCTGGGGGCGACTGGGACGAGGACCCCGCGCCCTGCCGGGCCTGCTCCGGCGCCCCCGGAAGCGGCGAGCCCCCTCCGGGCAGGCGCCCCGGGCTAGCAGCGGCCTCGAGCGAGGGGGCTCCGCGCGCGCTCCCGATCATCCCGCCCGCGACGCCCACGCACTCGCCGAGCGCGCCACGGCGGGCGGCCTCGCGCGAAGACGGACGCGGCGGCAGCAGCAGCAGCGGCGCTGCCCACGCGCGGCCGCCCGCCCGCCTCGCCCCCCGCCCCACGCCCGAGGCCGCCGCGCGCCACCTGGCCTGCCCTCGGCGGGAGCGCGCCGCCCGGAGCCCCCCAAGGCTGCCGCGCCGCCCTCGCCGGCCCCGCTCGCGGACGGAGGGGCGGGCGGGCGGCCCTTACCTGCCGGCGCCGGGAGCGGGAGGCCCCCCCGCCGCCCGCGGCTACGGGACGCGGCCCATGCCGGGGCGGGGGAGCGGGCGGGCGGGGGGCCCGGAGCCTAGGGCTCCACGCGGCCCGCAGGGCGGCGGCCCCCGCCCGGCGCTGCAGCCGTCGGAGCTGCGGTCCCCGCGCTGCTGGTTGCGCTCGTGCCTCGCTCGCCGCCCGCCCCGCGCTCCCCCGGCATGCCAGCCGTTGCTAGGCGACGCGCGGCTGTCATCAGCGCCGGGAGTGCGCGGCGGCGGTGGGCACGGGCGGAGGACCCCCGGCGCCCCCCCGGCCCGCCGCCTCCCCGGGCCCGTTGGGGGGCGAGAGCGGGCAGGGTCCCCAGGGAGGTTCCCCCGGGGGGCCCAGGGACGCCCCGTGAGCCCCCGCCCGGCCCGGTCTACCTTTGGGCAGGGGGCGAGCGGGCCGGCGGGGGCAGCATCTCTTGGTGCAGCAGAGCGCGAGGCCGGTCCGCGGGCTGCCGGGGACGGGCGGGGGGACCCCAGGGGGCGGAGCTTCCCGGGGAAGCATCCCGGGGCCGCCCCGGAGGAGGCCCTGCTGCTGCTGCTGCTGCTGCTGCTGCTGCCGGCCGGCCGGGCAGGGCGCGGGCAGCGGCTCCGTCCAGGCTGGCGGGCAGGGAAGGCGGCTTCCTCCTCGAGCCTGGCTCCACCCCGCCTGGGCGGCGATGGGGCCGGGGCTCCGGCTGAACCCCGGCCGGGTCACGCGGGGTCACCGAGCGGGCTGGCGGGAGGAGGGGGTCGCTCCCGCCCTCGCCGGATCCGGCAGGGGGCGCTGCTGGCCCGCGGCCAAGGGGAGGGGGCGTCCCTTCACTCAGGCAGGCAGCCTTTGCCTTCGTCTCTTCTTTGGGGTTTCCATGGAAACCCTTTAAGCCAACTTCTCGGGAAGAAAAAATTCTTTTTTTAAACCCCAAATCGGGAGGGGAAGGTTGGGGGGGGAGGGGAGGCAAAGGTAACAGCTGGGGCAGGTGAGCCGCTGGGCTGGGCTGGGGGGCGGGGGCAGGGGACCGGCCAGGCCCAGGAGCAGCGGAAAAGCCCAGCCGCATCTCCTTGGCAGCCGGAGAGCAGGAGGCGGGGGAGGGCGCGTGGGCAGAGGGCCCAAGACCCTGCAGGGCAGCCTCAGCAGAGCCCCCCCCCTCCCATTGCCCAGGCCTGGAGGGAGGGAGGGGCTGAGAGAGAGAAGGAGAGAGGGAGCGATGGGGAGGCGGAGAGATGGTCCCTATAGCAACAGTTGTCAAGCTCCTTTCAAGGGCCCTTGCTATTATGGGCTGGGGCTGGGGGGGTGGGCGTTGCAGGGAACAGCCGAGAAGGAGCTTCTGGCGAGAGGCCCTTCGGAGCGTCTGGGCGGGGCATCCAGGGACCCCGCTTGGAAGCCCCTTCACTGGGGTGCTGTGCTCGGGGCCCCTCCCAAGCGGGCACGCCTGGCCTGGCAGTGCCCTGTCCGGGGTCTGAGCAGAGATGGGCTTCTTGTGCATCACCCACCCTGCAGGGTCTCCGTGAGGACACTCGCTGCCCCTCCCCAGGGAGACCCCTCCCCTCAGTACATGGGAAGGGGGTCACCAGCTCCCAGTGTGAGCAGACTGCTGGGCTGAGGGTCCCCTGCTCAGAGCTGGGGGGGAGGGAGGACGCCGGACCCCCACACGGCACCCCTCCCCTTCCCAGTCGCTCTCCCAGCTCCACTCGCATTGGGGCCCTTGGCTCGCTGGGGTCCCTGCTGTCCCAGCTGACTCCTGCCCCCTTTCTAGGGGCCCTTTGGGGTCCACCAACTGGAAGCAGGTATCCACGTGGCCAGGGGGCTTGCAATTGTGCCCCACAGTTTCAGAGTGGGCGGGTGCCCCTTCCTCAGCAGCTGCCTTGTGGACAGATCCAGTCAGCCCCAGGCTTCCTCTGACCCCTTGCAGCGTGGGGCTGTTGATGGGGAACCTTACTACTCAGCCTCCCCGGGGTTCTCAGAAGAGCCTCTAGCAAAGCCAGGGTTACTGGGGGGCTTTGACCCACTCAAGAGTGCCCCCCTTACCCCCCCCACCAATGGGCCAAAGCTGGAGGGATGGGCAGCAGCCATGGGCCCCCATACCCAGGCAGGTCGGTCAGCCTGGGCTAAGAGAAGATGGGCCCCCAAGAGGCCCGTGGGGCTGGTCTGGCAAGCAAGATCTCTCCCCACCCCCTTACTTCCTGGCCTGGCAACCCTTGCAGGGTGAAGGTTATGGGCAGACACTGGCCTGTCAATCATTTCTCGCCCACAGAGGTTACCCCAGGATCACCGGGAGGGGGCTGAAGGAGGCAGAAGGAGAAGCTGTGAGCCCCTCCCCCCCATGGCTCCCCAAAGGCCTCTGTGGCCTCCCCCAATCCCCTTCCTCTTGGAGCTGGGAAGGGAAGGCAGCTGAAACACGGGGGCACCCACAGCCCACCCGACCGGCAGCTTCACCCCAGGGGTGGCAGCTGCCCAGCCCAGGCCTCCGCTTCACCAGGGCTTCAATCATGGGCCTTCAGAAACGGGGGTGCCCCCTCCCCAGCACATGACCCCCTTTGTGACAGGAGGCCACAAAGACCCCCGTGTGGGCAGGCTCCAGGGCCAGCTTTTCCTCAACCACAATTTCTGGAGCCTGTTGAGAAAGTCTCACACAAATACACGCACGCAACACAAACAAAACCTGCCAATGCAGATTCAACCCACCCACCCACAGGGCCCCCCTTCCTACCGTGCTCAGCTTGGGGCCGGCCTTCCACGGGGACGCTGACCGTCCGGCGCAGAAGCTTGTTCCGCCCGGCGTCCCTCTGGCGTTCTCGAAGGAGCAGAGGGTGAATCTGGGGAGGGGGGGAGAGCAGCCCACATCAGAGGAGGGAGCAGAGAGTTCCCCCCCCCGAGCCCTCTCTTCTCTGACCCCCCCCCAATTGCTACATCCCCCCAAGCCACAGCCGGTCTGTGAAACCACGGAAGAAATCTCTCGGGAGCTGCACGACGGCTGAGCCAGACCCACTGAAAGGGCCCAGCGTAATGTGGGAACTTGGCCCGAAGGGCCTCCCGGTGCAGCCCAGAAAGAGGCGTAACCCTGCCAACCCTGGAAACTTAACCACGGTGCATCCACTGTCTTGCTGGACTCGGGAAACCACAAACCATGGTTTCCCCAGCCGTCTGGCACACGACGCCCGACCTGCGGGAACCTATTTAGCCCCTCCTGAGTGGATCCCCTTCTGGCCTTTCTGGCCCGCCCCAGGCTCTCCCCGCCTGCTCTGGGTCCTCAGTGGGGGGGCTCGAGGGAGAACCCCCACCCCACCCACCCACCCTCTTTGCCCACCCACCCCCGCTCACCTCCTCCTCGTCCAGCATCAGGAGCTGATTGCCAGAGATGATGCAGAATCGGGGGGCGTTCCAGGGACGGTCGTAAGGCGAGTGGACATACTGCGCACGGGACCCCGGTGCTCCTCGCACATCTGCAGTGGAAGGGCAGAGTCAAGCAGACCCGGGCCAGCCCGGTGCCCCCTCCCAACCCCGCTCCCCCAAAAAAGGGCCTGGGAGCGCACACACAGAGACCCAACTCTGCCAGGACCCCCCCCCCTCCCGAAGCAGTGGGAGATGCCGGCCCCCTCGGCTGCCTCTGCCTTGGTGAGAGAAGTGGGCCTTGTCCCCTCTCCCCACCCCTCCCACGAAGCCCTCTGCCCGCTGGGGGTGTGTCGGGGGGGGACACTGTGGTCTTGGCACCTGGCAACCTCGCCTTGCTCCGTTAGGGCCACTGAGGCAGGTCCTGCTTCCAAGCCAGCTGGGGGTTCCAGCCAAAGCCTGGCAGATGGGCACAAGCAGAGGAGGGAGCGGACTCTCTGCCCAGTGTGACTCCCCCTATCGCCGGAAGGGGCTCTGCAGACCCTGCGAGCACCCCAGCACACTTTGCCCCCCCCCACCCCCCACCTGCCTTTCGACAGCCTCTGGGCCTCCATCCGGCTGTCCTGCCTGCCTGCCTGCCTGCCTGCCTGCACGGGTGGGGGCAGCCGGGGAGTTGTGTAAGGCCTCGGCTGGGCCTGTGCTGCCCCCCAGTGGCAAAAAGAGGCTGCCAAGAGCCAGGAAACGGGGAAAGGGGAGAAGCCTGCAGCAAAGGGGGCAGGCAGAGAGATGTGCAGGTGGCACCCTGGGTGGGCTCCAGATGCTGGGAAGGGGCTGCAATTCCCCACTGGGGAATCACAGCCGTGGGCAGCGATTTTTAAATCCTTCAAAGATCCAGCTAAGCCCCCCCTCAGCTCCCCCCCCATCACCCTGGGTTTGACACAGGTGGAGGAGCAGGGCTCACAGAGGCTCGGGGTGGCAGGCCACCCATGGCCTTCCGGTCCAGCTGGTGAGAAGCCAGTAGCCACCTAGCTGGAGGCAGGCAGGACTCTTCACCCCGTCAGGAGAAGGCCATCCCGAGAGGCCCAGTTGCCCACCCTGACCGGTGCAGCACACAGCCAGCCCCCTTTGCCGAGGGGCAGCAGGAATGGGTCCCTGGGGCAATTGCTGGGGGGGAGGGGGTGTTGGCTAGGGGGCTCGCCATTTAAGCAGGGCCATCTGAGAGCTGGTTTAGGTCCCGTCCCCCGAGAGAGAAGCCAGCTCTCCACTGTTCATCCGCTGCATCCCCCAAATGGGGGGGAAGGAGGCGGGGGCACCTGGGGGCTGCAGAAAGCAGATTGGGAAGGCAGCACGTCCTGCACTCTGACCCTGAAGCTGCCCCCCCTTCTCCGCCCTGCCCAGAACCAGATCTAGAGGGGAGGCCAACGCAGGATGCTTCCCGCTGGCGCAAGGGGGGGCTCTCTTCCCTCTTCACCCCTCCAGACCAGCCAGGGCCAGAGAACGTATAGCCGGCTCTGCCAGGATTCGTGCAGACGCTCTTTTCCACAGGCACAAGGCCTGACTTCCCTTTCATAACCCGGGTCAGGGACCCAAGCCGTATCCCTCCGTTCCCCCAGCAGCCCCCAAGCTCAGCCAGCCGGACTCTGCTGAACCCCCTGAGCAGCCAGGAGTCTCTCTCTCTCTCTCTTATTCTTTCTCTCTCTCTCTCTCTCTCTCTCTCTCTCTCTCTCTCTCTCTCTCTCTTCTGGCCCAGCTCAAGCACAGCTGAAAAGGAAGTGGGCTCCTGCCAAGACCAGCCCACCCACCCCCCATTTCAACCCAAGAAACGGGAAGAATCCACCAGTAGGGGGCGGACTCCTTCTGCCATCACAATGTGCAGCTTCTTCACCTCCAAAGCTATTAGAGGTATTGGTGGTTGGGGGGGGGGACATCACTGTTATTGTTTACATTACTATGACTATTATTCTTATGGTTTTCCTATATATTGTTTTCTCTCCTCCCTGGGATAAAATGGCATCCTCTCTCACCTGCTGGAAGCTAAAAGGCCCCTCCAGAAAAGACGAGCCACAGGTGACAAAAAGCCCCGACAGCAAGAATAACCCAGCCCAGAATCCACCTATGGAACTCCTTGCCACAAGATGTGGGTCTTGGGCAACTCAAACGGCTTGCAAAGCTCAAACCAGCCCCCGCTTTGGCACTGTGTCTTTGTAAACAGACAGAAACTCAACAGGTTGTAATGAGTAGAACCATGTGGGCGAACTCTGGACCCAAATCAGCCGGCTGCCTTTTAGCCGAACCCCTGGCCCAGCCCTAGTGGCACACGGGTCCCCCGGCCAAGCCAGGGTGGCGACCGGATTCAGCCCTTCCGGGGGGGGCAGGGAGGGGGAGTCCAACTGCCTTGGCTAAGCTGGATTGGTGGATTAATTAATTCATTAGGTTTAATGCGTGGGCCGCCCACTCCCCAAAGGCTCAGCAATGCTTACAATGAAAGCCGGCTCATTAAAAGGAAAATACAACAGGCCAGAAAGGGGGGGGGGGCCACAAGCAGAGCAGAAAGTCCTGACAGAACAAGAGTTCAGTCAGTTCCTGAGGACACAATGTGGGGGGGGGGGAAGGGGGGGAATCTCCCTGGCCTTCCCATTCTGGATCAGCTGCCGACTTCTGGGCCGTCTTCAAGGGCAGCTCCCAAGAAAGCCAATTTACAGATAGCCATCTCGTTTAGTGACCATTCAAAGTTACAACGGCACTGAAAAAAGTGACAGGACCCTTTTTCGCACAACCGTTGCAGGATCCCCACAGTCACACGGTCCAAATTCAGGCCCTTGGCAACCGGTTCCTATTTACGACGGTTGCAGCGTGGTCTCCTTTTACAACCAGCAAAGTCGAAGGGGGGGAGACCGGATTCACTTAACAAATGTGTTGCTAGCTTAACAACTAATTCACTTAACAGGTGTGGTCGTAAAATGGGGCAAAACCCACTTAACAACTGTCTCACTTAGGAACAGACATTTTGGGCTCAGCTGTGGTCGTAAGCTGAGGACGTCCTATGGGACAGGCAGAGGGCAAGCAATCCAGGAGGGGGCTCTGTTCACACAGGCAGAGCTCAGAGGCAGAGGGCCAGGTGACCCGGTTCAGGTGAGCGGAAGACAAGGCAGCCCCAGCTGGGTCCTGGCAGGGCAGAGGGGCTTAGCAAGGGCTCCCATCCAGAGTTCCTGACACCGGAAAAAAGGAGCCTCCAGTTCCCATCAACCTGCTGGCTGGGGATTAGAGGCTTGACTCCTCCGTGAGCCGCTAGCTGGAGGCCAGGAGTGGTGCAACTCCTGCCGCCGCCACCACCCCCAGTGCTGGAAATCTCTCCAAGCCATGAGGACTAGGACCTTGGCTAGAGAAAGAAGAGCCCCAGCAGCTTCCCCAGCCTGAGAATATTTGTAGCTCAGGGTTGAACCGTGGACTTACGATGTTCCCTAGTCGGGTAATGAAACGCCTGCCAGGAGAGCACCAAGGACCCCACGGACGGCCCCCCACTCTGCCCGGCCTGGCCCGCAGCACGAGGCTTCGCTGCTGGCCCTCAGCAGGCAAGAGGAGGCTGGCCAGGCCACTTTGGGGGGGCCACTTTGGGGCTCCCCTCCCCCACAGGGCCATTCCAGGTGGCCCTTCCCTCCTGCTTCCAGTTCCCCCTGATCGACTGCATTTATTTCATGGATTGGTATTGCGGATGCTTCGGTGCCTGAACTGAACAAGGCCTCCTTCTGCTCAGGGAGGCAGGGAGTCGCTCAAAGGGAAGAGCAGGGTCTCCCAAGCAGAGGGCTCCCCGATCCAGTGGCTCCTTTCTCAGGCCCCGGAGGACCTGGCAGAGCACCTGGGCTGCCCTGCCTGAGATGCCCTCTGAAGACGAGGCTTCCCTTCAGTGCAGCTGTCCCTGGACAGCCAGCAGGAGAGCTGCATCACTCGTGGGGGTGGGCAGGACCCTCATCCGAGCAGGCACGGGGGGGGGGGCACAAGTCTCTGGCCCCCTCCAGCATCCCAGCCCAGCTGTGCTCATCTTGACCAGAGAGTGAATGTGGCACAGCGGGGGGGGGGGGGGAAGGGGGGCTGTGCCAGCTGAAGCTGCCTGAAAGGGGCCCTCTGGGGGGAGTGGGGATCCATCCACTGGGGGAAGCAGGGTCCCCCAATCTTTGAGATCTCTTCCTCCCAGCACAGCCGAAGCCTCAGGCAGGGGCTGGGGGGGGGGCAGCCCAGGCCCCCACAGCCTCCTTTTCCCCCAACCTCCGCTAAGGACCACCCGGCCTCAGGAGCCTCCAACACCCAAAACGAATACAAGGTCCCCCCTCCCCAAAGCTGGAGTCCCATCCCCCCCCACAAGCTTCGCGATCTCCCTCCGCTGTTGCCATGCAAATGTGCACCAAGGCGGCCGCCAGGCAACAGGAGGAAACGCATCTCCTGAATGGGATCGGGCAGGAAAGACCCCCGCGGCTGCCGACGGAGATGCCGTGCGGAGCAGCCCCGGCGGGGCTCAAGGCCTGAACCGGTGCCGGAGCCAGGAGGAGAGTCACCCACTCAGGGAAGGGGGGTGAGGGGGCTGCAGATCACCAGAGCCAGGGAGCCACAACCGCCGGTCCTGGGGGGCTGGGAAAGGCCTGCCTGCCTGCCTGCCTGCTGCCTTCTGGCCACTCGGTGCAGCAGAGAAGCCTCACCCCACCGGCCCTGCTGGGTGGCTGCCTGGCCTCCTGGAAAGCAGCAGCCCGGCTGTTCCAGCTGAGGACAAGGGGAGGCTTCCCCCTCCCAAAGGAAATAATAAATGGGGGAGAACAGCCCTCCCGCTGCCTCGGGAATAAAACCACGGGGGGGGGAGGGTTCCTGCAGTGCAGCACCACCAATCTTGGAGAATGTACTTCATGCCGGAGTTGCCCCCCCAGCATCCTTCAGCAGGGTTGCCTGGCAACATCACGCCCCCTCCCTTTCCCGAAGAGAGCTAGCAGGCCTCTGATGGCGAGGAGGGGGGTCCGGAGCCCCCGCCCAGGCCGTTTCCTGCAAAGCCAAGGTGTGGGGGAGGGGGAAGGTGACCCTCTTTCGGGGGGGGGGAAGAGGAGAGAAGCGTTTTGGGGTACCAAGAAACCTGCCATCTCCCATGACGAAGCGCGAGGAATGGTGGGCCAGAACTGAGCGACCGTCACCCCTCCCCCGCCGACCTCAGCTGGCCCGACCGGGACGTTTCAGCTTCCCCCACAGCCGCCCCCCTCCTTGCAACGCCGCTCGCCTTCCACCCGAGGCACGTGGGAGGAAGGGGCTGGTCCGCGAGAGAAGCAGCCCCCTCCCAGAGTTGGCACCAAAGGCCCCCGCTTGGGAAGGCGGCATCTTCGGTCGGGACCCCCCCCCACCCAGTCGCTCCTTCTTCCAGCAGGTGCCTCCTTCAGCCCGGCAATCGGGCATCTCGTCGCGGCTGGCGCTGCGGAGCCGCACCGGGGCCTCCAGGAGCCCTCGGCGGGGCCGCGGCCGGGCGAGGCGCTGGCACTGACCCCGGCGAAGGCAGGCGCAACGGCGGGGCCTGCCGGTGGCTCCCGCTCCCACGGCTCCCCCTCCTCCCCCGGCCCCCCTGCCGCTACGGTCGGCCGACGGCAGGCCGGAGCGCCCAGATCACCGGGCGCGGGTTCCAGAGCGCACCATCTCTCCCGGGATCCGGAGGCCGCCATCCGGCCGCAGCTGGCCGAGCGCCACGATGCTTCTCTCCCGCGGCCTCGCCGCCCAGCCGCGAGCGTGGGAAAGGGCGCAGTCCCCACGCGGCCGGAGGACCCCTTTCCCAGCTGGCTCCCACCTGCCTCGCCAGGCCCGAGCGCGCCGGAATCCCCGGGGCGGAGCGCAGCATCTCTTGCCCCGGCCCGGGTCAAACCTCCAGGAGGAGCCGCCGGCCGCAGCCCTGCGCCGCAGCCCGCCCCGCGCCGGAGCTGTGCAGAGCGGCAGCGGGCGGGCAGCGTCGCCCCTCCAACTTCCGGGCGCCAGGCTCTGCCCCGCGGCCGAGGGAGGGGCCTGTCCGCCGATCCCCCCCCCGCCCGCCCGCCCGCCCGCCGCACAAGCGAAGACGAGTGTCGCCGCCCCCGCCCGAAAAGCGCAAGCCGCGCGCGCGCCGAGGAAGGTGGCCCTACCTCGGAAGGGGACATAGGACATGGTGCTGCCTTCATCCGCCGCTCAAGGCCCGGCCGGCGGGGGCGGCCGGGGAAGAGGGCCAAGCTGGGAGGGAGGGCGACCGGCCCCGGCCCTCCCGCCGTTCGCCTCTCGCTCGCTCGCTCGCTCGCCTCTCTGCGGGACCCTTCCTGACAAGCCGAGGAGGCGGCGGCGGTTCGGGTGATGAGCGGGGGCTGCCGACCCTCCCCCTTCCGCCCGCGGCTCCGGCTTCTGCTCCTCCTCCTCCTCCTCCTCCGTGGGCAGCCGAGGCTGCAGCGCAGGCCGTCCGGCCGTCCCGAACCTCCGCAACACCAGCTGCGCCGCCGCCGCTGGAGCACGGCACGCGGGCGAAATCGAAGGCGCGCTCCCGACGCCGCCCCTCCTCTGCCAGCCCGGGGCCGGCGGCTTGCCCCGCGGGGGGACACCCCCGCCCGACGGAAGCGCCCAAGGGAGGACCGCGACGTCCATCGGTCTGCCGCCCGGACCCTCCCCCGCCACGGCCATCCTTCTGGCCTTCCAGCTGCCCCGGACGGTGCCCTCGCGGCGGCCGCCCGACGTCTCTCGCCAGCCGCTCCGCCACGCCGCCGCTGTCCAGGGCGAAGCCGGGCATCGAGAGAGGCGGGACGGGGCCAGCTGCTCCTTGCCGCGCCCGCGGGACCCTTCCTGACAAGCCGAGATTGCGGGCGGGGGCTCGGAAAGGCGGCCGCAGCTCTGCTCCCTTCCCGGGCGGTTGTAATCGGACGCCCTTTCGCCGAGGGCCCGCTGCTGCCTCCGAGGACCCGAATTTACGCCCCAACCTCGGGGTAGCCTCTTCCTCCTCCCGCCAAGCTTCCAGGCTGCCTGGCCTTCCCAGCTTTCTTTGAGGGGCCGCCAGCTGGCTTTGGCCAGGCAGCAGCAGGGCAGGCGGGACCCAGGGAGCCTCCTCCAGACCCTCCTGGACCCCCAACAGGCCCCCTGCGTTTCCTCAGCTGAATCAGCAGCCCCTCCCCTTTTCCTTGCATCCCCCCACTGGCCCCCCATTAAGTGGTTGGGCTTTGACCCACTTCTCCGCCTGGGTGTTGTCTTCCCACAATGGCGGCCTCTGCTTTATCCGCCGTGCCCAAAGGACCCTTCCAGACAAACGGTTCTTAAAAGCCTCCAGGGTTGAAGGACCCACGTTCCACCGGTTAACTGTTCTCACTGTCAGGAAATTTCTCCTTAGTTCCAGGTTGCTTCTCTCCTTGATTAGTTTCCAGCCATTGTTTGCCCTGCCTTCAGGGGCTTTGGAGAAGAGCTTGACTCCCTCTCCTTTCTGGCAGCCCCTGAGATATTGGAAGACGGCTATCCTGTCACCCCTGGTCCTTTCTTTTCATCTAACCCAACATACCCAATTCCAGCAACCGTTCTTCAAACGTTTTAGCTTCCAGTCACCTAAAAAGTCCAGATTGTTTGAGCGCTCAGTGAAAATTAAGGTAGGGCGAGAAGCCACAGATGGAAAGTAATCAAGGAGAGAAGCAACCTAGAACTAGAGAGAAATTTCCTGACCGTGAGAACAATTCATCAAGGGAAGGACTTGCCTCCAGAAATTGCGGATGCTCCAACACTGGAAGTTTTCAAGAAGAGACTGGGCAACCATTTGTCTGAAATGGGGTAGGATGTAGAATGGACTATTCTATTCTAAAATCCCAACCTCACCAGTGTCTCCATGCTCCGGATAAGCAAGAAGCCAGGCAGATGCTCTTCTCTCCAACCAGCTTCAAATCAAGAGCCCTGGAGGCGCAAATGGGCCTCCGGGATTACGCAAGGGAGCATCTTGCCAGGCTGATGCAGCCTTCGCCCATTTCCCGAGATTTAGCATCAATCTCCAAAATCCAGTTCCTAAATTCTCCTCTTTCACGCACAGACTCCCCCTCACTGAAAGAGATGGGGAGGCAGCATTCCAGGACTTGGCCCCATGTAAAATTAAAACTATTGACATCAGAAGCAAAATTGTTTCCAGGCAAGCTTTAGAAGAAGTGAGAATTATGGCTTCTGATAGCTCAACCCAAGGATGATCTCTCTCTGTCACTCTCACTCTCTCACTCTCTCTCTCTCTCTCTGTCTTCCCTTTTCCAGAGAAAGCCAGTTTCAAAATAACCATGAGATCATTTTCTCCCTAAGTTCTGCTTTCATCTTGAACAGTCCACTCTGTGCGTGTGAATGGTGTAGTCCATAGGTGTGAGTCCTCTGGTTTCCCCTCTTCCTCCTCCTAGGTGAGGAGTCTCCAAACTTGGCAACTTTAAGACTGGTGGACTTCCACTGGCTGGGAAATTCGGGAGTCTTAAAGTTGCCAAGTTTGGAGACCGCTGCTCTAGAGTTAGGGAGGGTGGATGGCTATTTGGCAAGATGGCCACCTCTGTTTCAATCAGGATTTAACTTCCTTTCTGACAATTCATCTGCTGCATCTGCCGTTTGCAACGGGGCCAAACAGGGCTGTGTCCACGGCCGGTCTCTTCCATCTGTTCTTCGCTGGCACCTTCTCGTGTGCTGCCTGGGGTCTGAAGGAGGGAACGTCCATTGGATAGTGAGTGGACAGTTCTCTCTTTGACCTTTGCTGGTTGAAGGCATCTGGAGGGGTTGCCTCCAGACCGTCAGGCCAGGGACCTTCTTTGCCGACAACTGCGTGTTCCTGGCTCACAAGGACAATGGTCGACTGTTGACGTTCAGCAGATGCCACCACGCCAAGGACTGAAATACGTTACCCTCCTGTGCCAAACACCCACCCCGTAAAACAGGGGTCCCCAACCCCTGGGCCACGGCCCACTACCGGGCCTTCAGCCTTTCAGAACCGGGACATGGAAGTGGCGGGCGAGCACGTATCCCCACTCGCACGAGTAGCGGGTGAGTGCGTGCACACACACTCCGTTTGCATGAATGGCAAGCGCATCTTCCACTTGTGGAAATGGAGCAGCGTGCACACTTGCCCACCACACGCGTGGAACCATCCCCTCCCCCTCCCGCCAGCCCGCGTAGCAGAAAAGGTTGGGGAACTTTCCGTAGAACCACTTCTGACAACACCTAGCTAACAAACATAGGGAGGGACCTTCAAATACTGGGGAAGCAGGTTGTGGAGGATGGGTCTTTGGGTAACAAAAATTGACTCCAGGATCAGCAAAACAAACTGAGCACTGAGGCAGTTGAGCAGTCAGTCAACACAACTTCCATGTCTGCACAAAGCTGAAAGTGCTAAGAGCTTCCCTCTTGCAGGAAGTCCTCGACTTACACCCATTTGAAAGTACAACAGCACTGGAAAAAGTGTCTTATGACAGATTTTCATACTTATGACCATTGCAGAATCCCCATGGTCATGCGATCAATATTCCGGCACTTGGCAACTAGCACGTATTTATCGCAGCATCCTGGAATCACGTGGCCACCAATTGTGACCTTCCCAGCTGGCTCCAGACAAGCAAAGTCAGTGGGGAAAGACAGATTCGCTTAATGACAACAAGATTTACCTACTAACTGTGGCAAACAAGGTGGTAAAATGGAGCAAAACTCACTTAACAACTGCCTTGTGTAGCAACAAGAATTTGGGCTTAATCGTGGTCATAAGGTGAGGACAAAATTGGAGGTGATACAATAGCAGTCTTCCAATATTTGAAGGGCTGCAATAAAGAATACAGAATAACAGAGTTGGAAGGGACCTTGTCGGTCCTCTAGTCCAACCCCCTGCTCAAGCAGAAGACCCTGTATCATTGCTGACCAATGGCTGTCCAGTCTCTTCTTGAAAGCCTCCAGTGATGGAGCTCCCACGACTTCAAAAGGCAGCTTCTGTTCCATGGGTTGATTGATTCTCATTGTAAGAAAATTTCTCCTTATTTCTAGGTTAACTCTCTCCTTGATCAGTTTCCATCCATTGTTCCTTGTCTGGCCTTCTGCTCAAATATTGGAGCATTGCTGTCTTCTTTCCCCTGGTCCTTCTCTTCACTAGACTAGCCCTGTCCAGTCCTTGCAACTGTTCATTTGCTTTGGCCTCCAGGTCCCTCATCATCTTTGTTGCTCTTCTCCGCACTCCTTCTAGCATCTCAACATCTTTTTTATAGTGTGGTGACCAAAACTGGAGGCAGTATTCTAGGTGTGGTTATATTTGTTTTTTCTTGCCTAAGTGTAAGACATTATTTTTTCTTCCTTTGAATTTCATTTTGTTAGATAGGGCCCAGTGTTCAAGTCTGTCAAGATCCACCTGGATCTTGAGCCTATCTTTTGGGGTGTTGGCTATTCCTGCCAGCTTAGTGTAGCCTGCAAATTTGATGAGTTTAACAGATTAAAAACAGATTCCAACAGAGTTGGAAGGGACCTTTATGTCATCTAGTCCAACCCCCATCCGCCCAAGCAGGAGACCCTGCTACATCATTTCTGACCAATGGCAGTCCGGTCTCCTCTTGAAAGCCTCCAGGGATGAAGCTCCCACCACTTCCGAAGGCAACTTCTCTTCCATGGGTTGATTGTTCTCACTGTCAGAAAGTTTCTCCTTATTTCCAGGCTGAATCTTTACATTGCCATTACGGAAACTTGGTGGGATGAAACCCACAAATGGAACATACAGCTAGAGGGATTTAAATTATTTAAAAGAAATAGACCAAATAAAAGAGGAGGTAGAGTTGCACTATATATAAGAAATAACTACATCTCTACAGAAAAAGAGCACAACAATGACAAAAATTATCTTGAATGCATTTGGGTCAATATTAAAGTGGGGGGGGGATGACATTGCCATAGGTCTATACTATAGGCC